GAATGGTCAGGGAACAGGCTTTTGTGAGTAAAAAGTCATGTGGCAGCATGGTTGGCCAGGAATCAGTCTGAAAAAAAAGGGACAAGAAACCTCATCGTGCTGATTAGCCACACGTTATTTCAACAACACAAAATGTCTTTGAAGATCTGGATCATAATGGCCTTCTTGAGCTTACTAATTTTTCAGTCCTCATTCCTGCCCTTCATTCTCCAAGGGGAGGTTTCCCTGCGCTCAGGTTGCTGTTATGCTTTTGCTCTGAGCTCTTCTCTTCTCCCCTGAAATGCTGTCAGTTCTCATAAGCTGGACATGGGGTCTGTACCATGGGAGGATGATATTTCAATCCCCAGAAATGGTGCTCCTGTTTAGTATGAATATTTTTTTTTTTTCTACAGTGGTATGACAGAGGTGACTGAGGCCTTTTAAATTTTTTTTTCATCATCTGCTGAAACCTTAATTGGCTTTGAAAGAACTGGTGGCTGGCTGATTCTTCCCTGTCTCATTGCAGTTCAGTTAATTATTTCCACTTCTCAGGGATTTATAATTTAAGGCTTGTTTCGAATTGCAAACATCTTCCAGAATAGTTGCAACTACTCCAAATTTGCCAATATCTGCAAACTTCATAAGCTTATTTTGTCTTCTATCAACCTAGTCTTAAAATATTTAATACCTTATGTCAGATTTCTGCCCAATTCTACTCGATACAACTTTTCATTTCAATAACAAGTCTTTGCTAATCCTCTTTTTTCATACCAGTTGAACACTTCGTTTACAGAGATTTCCTCTATAGCATATTTCTCTGGTTTGTTGATGTGAATGGCCTGTATCAAAACTCTTTAATGTATGCAATGTATACTCTATTTCCTTTATCCACTTGGTTTATTATTCTGTTATATAAGGAAATTAAGACAGTTTGACAGAATTTCTTCTTGAGAAATCTACAGTGATTATGACTTAACAACTTTTATCTTCTGTGTACAAGAAGTGCCTCATGAAGTATAATTATATTATTTTAGACAACAAAAAGAGGTTGTGTGCTCTTTATTTTGAGCAGCACCTGTGATCTGCCTCACTCTTTATTTGGGGGAATTTAGTGCTGAAAAATTAATGAAATTTCCCTTTGAAGGAATGTACCAAAATCATAATCCTACATTTTAGTAAAATTAACATTGTTTTTTTCTCCAAAACTTTAAACAAAACATAGAATTGATCTTTATGAAATGTATGAAAGTGTACTGTTGTCATCATAGCTTTCTATGAAACATTTTACTTACAGATATCAGATGCACTGGGCTCTAGAGAAAATTTGGGTGATGTGTTTTATTATGGCTCTTTTTCAATACCTTTAAGAAGAAAATGAATGGTTAGTGTTTTATACATGATGAATTATTTAGTCTTAAAAACTTCATATGAGAAGGACAATAGTGTTTGGAGTTGGGATAAAATATCACTATATGCAACGATAGTAAAATAATATAAATTATTTTTATTGGTGTTGCTAATCCCTAGTTATCCTAGTGAGTTATTGCAGAATAGGTTTGACACATCTAGTGTGCTCATTTTGATGCTGACTCAGAGGACTGGCTCCTTCATTGCATTCATGAAATTTATGTACTTATTGGTTTTGCTTCACTGTAGGGAATAGGCTTGCTTTCCTTATGGATGAATGTATATTCTTTTATATCTGAAAAGACATTCTGCATTCTGTCTATGCCTACTTTGGGTAAAGACCTATTTTTAATTGTGGAACTTTAAAAAAAAAATCAATTTGAGAAGCCTTGTGTTGTTTAGAAGCTAGATATTGCTAGGTGTAATGGTATTTTCAGGCTTCTGAAAAATAGTTTTCAATATTCCATTCATGAATATTGGATTTTTGCACTTTTGATTATTTTAATCAAAAATAAAATGCTGCATTGAAACACAATAAACTTTCACATAATCTAGAAAAAGCTCTCAGTAAAGTGAAATGTCATGTCCAGTGATGCTTACAGAGGGATCTGCCGTCTCTTCTCTCAGTAAAGGCTACAACATTCAATGCTGGTTTAGCAAATCTCAGCACCTGAGATTCAGTGACTCGTAAGCAGCATCATCTCTCTCATCATGGACGTGTGTGTTTCATGTGTGATATGTGAGTATTTCTTGAGTGAGTGAGTGATGAACAGCACATAACACTAGCTCTAGCTGAAGAAGGTGCCTTTGTAAAGAACAAATTCAAGCTATGACAATTTGTGCTTCTAAATCTGGAAATCCTCAGTTCAGTTGGGAGTTGAGTAAGGGGGCTGTCCTGCATGTCTACAGGCAGTTTAACTACACATCTAAATAAGGGAGAGCAGTTTGCATCCCTCATTTATTCCAGTCACTGATCAAATATTTCAGTGGAGTGTAATGCAAACAGAACCACATGTCTAATCCTTTCCTTACAATGAACAGTAGGCCACATCCTAAACCACTTATGTAGAAAAAGTCCTTCTGAGGCCATTATTCCAGAGCCGAATAAGCCCTGATGGGCTGATTCATGAGGAATGATGCTTAAGTATGCTCTTTGCAAAAGACTTCAGGCAACTATACCCCCCATTATGTACAACCTCAGCCAGTGGGGTTATATGGGATTAGTGTGCAGCTGACCTTTTGTCTGCTTTTCTGTATTTTCTTTGACTAAATACTGAATTCCAGAGAGACTTCTTGATAACCTATTACCTGTTAGAACACAGTGCATATTTATGTTTTAATCAGGACTGGTTTTGATTAAAAGAGTGACGTTATGACATGTTTGTGTCCTACTTTTTGAAAGCAATCGGTCAGTGTCTGTTCTAGGAAGGGCAGTGCAATAAGTGTGATCACAGACTTTGAGATTTTACTTAATTTCCATTTGCTTCCCAGAGACTAGAAGGTCCTAGTGTCCTTGGTCTGCTGGTATGGAAGAGGACAGACCCACGGTCCTCCTTCCTTTCCCCTGGTCCTGATCTTTCCTCGCAGTCCCTCTTTCACCTGTGTGGCACCCCAGGAAGCCCATTCAGTTTGATAATCAAGCAGAAAATAATTTCCCGCTTTTTGTTTGTTTGTTTTTCTGTCAATGGGTTTATTGCTGGTCCCAAGGAGTTGGTTAAATCAGTTTCTGAGCCTCTGGGAACTCAACGGCCAGTTCAAGCCAGCAGCAAGACCATGGGACTCAGAGCAAGGGGAGGACAAGAGGTGGGCAGAGATGGAAAACACTGCTGCCTTCTTTCAACCAGAGGTGTGAGGCTGGCACAAGCACTGTGTTCCCCCCCATCCCCACACTGCTGACACCTCACTCCCTGTCCCTGCTCACTCTGCACCATCTTGCTTGAGAAATTGGTTTCCTACTTCTTGGAGAAGTTCTCATTAAGCTATAGATCTAACAGGAAACTGAAGATGGTAAAAACATATGAAAAGCTAAGAGAAAATAAAATTAAATAAGAAAATAAATAGCTTTGGGCAGCTGGATTTACAGGCTTTAAAAGCAAGACAACAGAAGGCACTTAAGCCTCTTTACACAAAAGAAAGGAATGGAGTAGCTTAACAGTCTTGAAAACTGTTTCTTTTTTCCTGAGTTTTTTTCTGATCCCAATTGTTCTGTAACTGTTTATTTACAAGTATTTTTTATTTACTGTACTATTGTTGTGGTTTAGGCCCAGAGAGCAACTGAGCACCATGCAGCCACTCACTCATCCCTTCTCCCATCAGATGGGAAGGACAATATGGAGCAGAAATGGGTCAAAGAATCCATCTAAGGACTGGGAGGAGTAGTTCACCCATTATGGTCACAGGCAAAAGACAGACTCGTTAGGGGAATAAAAAATAAAGCATCACTTTAATTCAAATGCTAACAAAGACAACACTTAACAGACAAGGTGAGGACAGTGAAAAGCACCAACTACATCCAAAAAACACCTCCCCCACACCTTCCTTCTCCCAGGGCTCAGCTCTGCTCCCAATCTCTCTACCTTCTCCTCCAGCGGCACAGGGGGCAGGGGATGGGGGTTACAGTCAGCTCACCGCTCCTTCCTTCTTGGGAGGTGGGTTGAACGCCACACATTCCTCCCCTGCTCCACGTGGCTCCTCCACGGGGCTCCCCTCTCACTGCAGACAGTCCTCCAAGAACCTCTTCACAGTGAGTCCTCCTCACGGGATGCAGCCGTTCCCAAGCTACTCCAGCATGGATCACCCCTGTGTGTTGCAATCCTCCCAGTGCCAAATCACAAAAGCGGGGACCACTTCTCCCCTCAGGGACCCAGCTTCCTTTAAGTTCAGGTTCCTGTCCTGGAGTGTCTTTCTCCTCAGGCTTCAGGTCGGCGTCTGCTCCACTGCGGACCTCCATGTGTGGCAGGGTGGGTGGCCCTGACGTCTCACCATGGGATACAGGGGTTTCTGCTCCAGTACACCTCCCCCATGTCCTTCTTCTTCCTTCCACTGACCTGGGTGTGCATCTTCTTCCCAACTCCTCCTCACAAATCCCAATCCCCTCTCAGGTTCTCCTTCTTAAATACATTATCACAGATGTGCAGCTGATCGGCTTGGCCCTGGCCAGAGGTGGGTCTGAATTGGATCTGGGGGAGCTTTCGAGAAACTTCTCACAGGGAGTAGTGCTGTAGCCCTTGACCCTGCTACCAAAAAATGCAGCACAGAAACCCAGCCCAATTATTTCCAAGCAGCTTTTAGAATACAGGGACAATTCAATTTTGTGAATCACAATTCAACATCCCATTGCAAGTTGCTTCACTGTAGAAGAGAACATCCTTCATGACCACAGGTTGAACTTTGATACAACTTTCAGCATTGACTGCCAAGGTTGGATTTGGTCAATCATCAGCTTAAACTTGTCAAAGAGCATTTAGATTTGTTTTGCCTTCTCCTTTGGTCAAAAGCTGGAGGCTGATCACGGTGGTCACAAAAGACTTGTGCTTAGTTTGGTTTTCCATATGAAAAAATACATAGACTTTTTAATAATTTTATAACATGATTCTTCTTTCTTTATTCTACAGAGACCTGAGATTTAATAGGATTAAAGAAATCCAGCCTGGAGAGTTTAGACGGCTTAAAAATCTGAACACACTGTAAGTTCTTTTTCAACCCTAAGGCCCTTTTCCCTTTTGATTTAGTATGATTGATTTGATAATGTGCCACATTTGTTCACTTATCACAGGTGAGTAGTCTCACAAATTTCAGCTGCAGTATTTACACAGGTGAGGGAAGTGAGGTTTAGGCCCAAAGTATCTGAAAGCAAAACCAGGTATATGTCTATTAAAATAAAAAATAAAAGTATTTACATCCTAATATTTTATTAACATACTTTAATTGGAGGTATGAAAATACAGACCTTTACTATATCATTTTTTCCAAATTGTGCCAAATGACTGAGGTGGAATATCACCGTCATGGTTTGAGCCTGGTCGGCAGCCAAACGCCACGCAGCTGCTCGCTCACCCTTACCCACCTGGGAATGGGGAAGGAGTTGGAGAGGCAAAGGGAGACTTGCAGGTTGAGATAGAAACAGTTTAATAATAGTAATAAAATAAAACAGTGACAGTATAAATGGGTAATGTACAATGCAATTGCTCACCACCCGCTGACCAACACCCATCCCATTCCTGGCTAATGATCCTGAAACACAGTGTCACATGACATGGAATATCGGCCAAGCCGGGCCTGGTGCTGCAGCCGTGTTCCCTCCCTGCTTCTTGTGCGCCTGCGCACAGGCAGGACAGAGGAAGTTAAAGGGTCCTTGAAATCTCAATTTGCTATCAGCATTCTTCTAGCTACCAAAAATGAACATGAACTCTGTTCCAGCCCGAACCACGACAATCACATAATAAATCATGGAGTTACACCAAAGCTGTTAAAAGGCTCAGATGTGCAAATATGTTGGAGTTAGAAAATATTTGGCAAACTAATGTTTTGAGCTTTACTATTCTAATATGCTTGCCAGGACTGACAGTAGTTGGAAGGTTTTGTTCCTACTGAGCTGCCTTTTATGGAGGTCTTCGTTATCATATATGTTTGTGAAGAAAAGTCTGTTTTTTCTAAAAGCCCTATTTACAAACAGTAATGCAAATAGTATGTGTATTACAGTTTTACCTTAGTATCTCCTTTGTCATTCCTTCAAATGTCACTTGAAATAAATGCATGCATGTTTCACTTCTCTAATAGATGAGCAGACATGAGGGGGAATTAAGATGGGCAGTTATTTTTTACTTTTAGAAGTACATAATTTATGATTGCAAATTTGACTGTTTTCTAGAACACAAGTAGTGTGTGAACTGAAATATAGTAGTGATATCAGTGAGCTTTGGATCACTATTATCTATTTACCCTGCAAGCAATAACAACAAATGTATTGAGACATCTTGTACTGTATATTCACACCAAAATAAATGAACAGACTTTCCCCCAGAAGTATAATCTATGCTACTGAGACATTTTTACTAGCTATCCCTATTGCCAGTCACCTTTGATCACACCTCTGTTTGCAGTTGATCCCCAGTTTTGAATTATAATTTCTGTCAGATATCTAGCTTCAAGTTTTAGCTGTCCAAATCACTGATGTGAGATCCACAAGTCCTGAATAAAACCAGGATTCATTAAATCTGGATTCCCTTTTCCTTATAAAAGCACTGCATGAGGGATGAATGGAAATCTGTGAATGCACAGTTGTGTTTCTTTTGTGATGTAAAGCACCCAGAACACAGAACATGGCTAAGAAGCATCTAGGAAAGGTCACTTTAACGCACCTCCTAGTGACAAGTCTTTGTTAATATATCGATTTTATCAATTTCAAACCTATGTGTAGACTTGAGACCAAGATTTTTCCCCCTTCATCTTCTTCACCTACAAAAAGCCACATTATTTCAGGTTTTAGATTTTTTTTTAATATTTTTATTTCTGTTTATTTTTTTTCAGAGTTTTCTCCTGAAAGGTAGTGACTGAGCAGCTGTAAGCATGTCACTTTTTTTCTTTTAACAATTGTTGTTAGGGGAAAAAAAAAATTGTTTTGCTATTCTTTTACATTCTCCTTTGAATGCTACATTACACCTGCTATGACACTATTTTTCCCTCCTGTTCCTGTATGTTGAAATAAATGGCTGTTTATTTCTTTTTATAGGCTTCTAAACAACAATCAAATCAAAAGAATACCTAGTGGGGCATTTGAAGACCTTGAAAATCTGAAATATCTGTAAGTTAAATGAATGTCACTTTTTGCTTCAATGTGTAACTGAACTTCTTTACTGGGAATGTGTTTAAATCTGAGATTCTGTTTTAATCTGACTCACTGTATCAGGAGATAAACTGCTTTGAAAATGTGTAAAATTAATTTATGAGGTGGAAGCAACTGAATCTTTGTTTCTATAAGTAGGTGCTTTGAGATTTGCTAATATAAGACGGAGATATCTTTAAGCAGTACATTTTAAATGTTTTACTAGGTGCTGTTTACTATATGCAACTTAAAAGTATGTTGAAAGGTTTAGGAAGTCACTTCTTTAAAGGTTCACTGAAACCTTCATAGAGGTACTTTTTAAGCTTGTGTTTTGAAAAGTGGTTTAAAAGCAGGTAGTCCAAGACTTGTGTCTGCAGTGGCTTGTAACTTATATAAGCTTTTTAACTACTACTAAATCGCTCACTGAATGCAGTATAAATTTGTAAGAGAAAAATTAGGTCAAGTACAAAGTACAAAAGTATCTATATGATTTGTCATTAATTCTATGCCTTCAGGCACCCCGTATATTTTAAGACTAACTCCTCTCATTTTTAACAAACATACCAAGTGTATGAATTATCCAAATAAACAAAAGGCATCAAAAATGTTATTTTTATCTGTATAAAAGACTAATGCTGAATATTAAATTGTCATAGATTCTCAGCTCTAATCTCTGGAGTCCACCTTATGTAGTGTCATGTAGAAAAGTTTCACTGTTTTGTCTTGGAGTATTGATCATTTCTTGAATGCTGTACAGAAAAAAAAATGGTCACTTCGCTATTTCATTGTTTTGGAAGCAATTCAGAAGCTTAATTCCCCATCTAGTTTTCAAAAATGCAGTCCAAATAGCTCTAAGGAGGTGGGAGAATGGTGGAAAATAAAAATCACATAAATTTGTGCAGACACTTATCCTATTTTCCAAGGTGTGTTTGACTACATTTCATGGTCTCATTTTTATGTGCATTGTCTTTCAGTAACAAAATTGTTTAATCCATATGAAATGGGAGGAAAATAATATTGAACAGACTATCCCCAATGAATTATTAAAGTCCATGATGACTGTATTTGTTACAAGATGTGTTTGTATGAGGGGATCTGGTAGTAAAATACGTAAGGTCTACTAACTCAGGATCACTAAGCTTCTTTCTATAGTCAGCAACTGTGCAGAAATACTACTTGGTTCTTATTCTTTATTTTCACATGCTTGACTTTGCCTAACTGTAGTAAACCTGAGATAAAACTCAACTACGCACTCTGTTCAGTTCAATAAAAGAGTGAGAAGAGATAACTGAACTATGATTTGTTTTCATGTACATGTAGTAATGTACCGGTCAGATAATTAATACAGAAGGCTTGAAATTACCAAATAGGTACACTTCAGCTGTGAAAATTTCAGCTGAGTAAGTACATCCTACCTGTATTCTGTGGAACAAAACAGACCATCTTTTTCCCAATAGGATCAACTGAAGTAGAAATCAGGGATGAAATATTGTACAAAAGTTAGAAATATTGTTCAGAATTTAATATTTTAAAGCCAAATCATCTGGAATAATTGAAGTTTTGCATCTCCTGATCCAATGGATATTTGCAAGCCTAATTCTCTTATGAGAATTCAAGTACTGGATTCCAGATGGTTCTGAAAATGTATGATTCACTGAGTAATTTTAGAAAACCTGTCACCTCTCAGTGGCTTTGATTTATCAAAATATAAGTATATATAAATGTAAAATGTATAATTATTAGTAAATATGAATATGTAACTGTATAAAAATACTTGTAACTGCATAGTTATGTATAAAATACGTAAGTATAAAACATAATACAGTATATTTATTTTTTAAAAAAGTCAGTGTCTGAGAGATATCAAGGCCCGTTCTTGTATCTCTGTTAAAGATCAATTTTTGTGCTTTCAGACAAAACTTTTCCAGCAGGTGTCAAAGAAGTCCTAGAATTTTCAAACGCTTCTTTGTACTATTTCTTTCTGAAATGGTGCTTAGTGTTTTACAAGGTATATATGTTTTCAGAGTTGTCTGCAGAACAAATTTTGACAAAGAGTAATGATATTTTCTTAAATGTATGTGCATTAAAAATATTCATAATTGTAAAAGTTGATCTTTACATTATAAAAAGAAGATTATATAGATGATTTTTGAAGCTTATATTTTAGGAATATTTGTTATCTTGTTCTTTATGTAATTGAAATTTTGACAGTTCTATAAACAGTTTTGCATGGTCTTGCCATGCTGTTTATGGAAATAATTTGTCTTTGAATTTGTATACTAAAAGTTGGAAAGAAAGAAAAGTAATTATTATTGTTTTTCTATGAAACCAAGAGAATACTTTTTTTTTATCAGCCTTTCTGTCTATCTGTCTTTATTTCATAAACCTTAGTGTTGGAAATATGGTTCTTTAGTAATGAACAAAAAGGCATTAGTAGTTTGGACCCCATCCATAATACAGTTTCTTTCTGCATTTCAGTGTTTCTGCATAGTTTTTTGAGTCTTACATTCCCCCTTCTACAAAGGATGCTGTAAACACTCCTGTCTAAAATAAACTGTAAAAGTTGTCTTCATATGAGCAAAATAATTGGTAACATGTTTGTAATTTGTTATTCCTGATACAAGATGTATATATGTATATGTGTACATGATGTATATGGTACACTGAATATATTTAATTGACTTCCTGTGAGTTATTCAGTTTACTGACTAGAGGTGGTAGTACAGAAAGATGATAAAGAAAATCTTCCCATCCTTATTATATAGATGCAGGTAGATTTGTGGAAACTTGGTAGGATAATACTACCTGATCCTGAAAGTCAACAGTTTATTCTCCAACAGAGAAGGTAATTGGAAGTAGAAGGTAGACACATAGTACCATTTTAACGTGTAAGATACTAGAAGATTTGGAATCAGTAGTAAAAAAAAAATTAGGTTAAGTTGAAGAGAAAGAATTTAGGGAGGTAATATTAAAAAATATAAAATATAGAATGGTGATTAAAAAAATCTTTCCAGAAAAGGGATGCTACTTGGTATTTACAGAGGAGTAAACTAGAAGCTAGGTTGAAGAAAGTGAAGAAATAAAAGTGGAAAATGAAAATAACTTAATCAACAACATTGATAGATGTTCACTTAATAAGAAGTGTAAAGGTGAGAAATCAGACATGACAACATTGTGTTGAACATATGATAAATGGAAATTAAGACTGTATGAAATGTATTCGTTCTGGAAATACTAAATGGGAACATGCAAGGTTTATTTTGCCTTTGATGAACGAAGTAATAGTGGTAGAAGATACATTATAGATTTACCAATGTGCTGAGTTGCTGACCTCACTCCTGTAGAAATGGGATTAGATCATGTTTCCTTCAGTGCCTTCTGCCACTGTTGCTGTCATGGTCATGTTACTTTCTCCTTTGAACACCTCCAGTGGTTCTGGATCTCATTTCTCTGCAGTTCATGTTGCTAATTCCACTCCTTATGTTTCTATATAAATCTCTGCTGTATTTGTTTACTTGTCAGGTTTAACTCTACAATGCCTGATATTGTAGAGTTTTTACCTTCATTTTACCTCCATTTTACCTTTATTACTTTTTTTCTTTCAGTTCCAAACAAATATATCTGAATCTTACTACTTAAAAAAAAACAAAAAACAAAAAACAAAAAAAAACAACAAAACAAACAAAAAAACCCCCAAACAAACAAAACAAACCAAACGAACCAACCAAACAAGCAAAAAGCCAACAACAAAAAAAATATCGTCAAAGGGGATCTAGCAAACTTTTTAATTAAAACTATTTTTCTAATTTTCTGGTAACTGGATACCTATTTGATTTTTTCATTTCCCACATATATGACCAGTACCTCTGGCCTCTATCAGCCTTGCTTGCATTTCTGGAAAATACTATTTTTTAACTCTAATGAAAGCAGTTAGTAGTTATTGTCAGAAAATAATTTAACATCTAAATAGAATATATATCCCTTTGTCATCTTAAGCTACTGTTTATTTATTCTTTATAAAATTCTAATGGTTCAGTTCTAGAAGGGAGGTAAATTAAATGATAAATTACTTTTTCCCTAATTATACTATAAATCTGTTTTCTGCTAATGTAACTGGGATAAATTTTGAGAATGTTTTTGTTAAAGATTAGTGCAGTGTTTACAAAGTTTGACTTGTTAGGCACAGTAGCATTTTAGAAAGACGTAAATATTTTTTGTGACTGCTACTTTTTTGTGTTTTGTATTCTGTCATCTCCTCATTAGGCAAATCTTTATTTTTCTTTATGTTGATATCCTCAGGGTAACATCTACACAATTAAGTGAAAGTTTGGTTAACACATCTGTCATAGGACATACATTTTTTGTAGCCTTGGGGTTTCTCTGTGGAGGGGGGGACACAATGGACTGAGGTCAGCTGAGTGTCCTGCAGCTGAGGGTCATCTGATCAGATTGGAAAAATTTGTAGTTTGAATCTGAATTCCAAATAAAGTCCCACTACAGTGTCTTAGTAAGAGCTCCAAAATGGGACATGAAAGGCAGCTCTCTTCCCTGCCATATGGTGGTAAAAGTCTGCAAAACTACAAAGTCATTATCCCAGTCTTCCTCCAACCTACCTTTGTTTTTCACTCTTCCTTACTTTGTCTGCAGAAAGTAAATAAAAGTTACAGGAATGATTCTAGTAAAACTTTTTTTTTTTTTTTTTTAAATTGGATTAATTCTGATTTCTTGAATAAAATTGTTTAAATGCCCACAAGAGACACTTAACTGAGATTGGTTATTAAAACCATTTTAGCCCAATCTGGTTCACTGGTCTAATCAGAAGTTTAGTACTCAGAAGAACAAGAGGAATTTCCAAACTGCCAAGTATATTAAGAAAGGTAATAACACTTTAGTTGTTCAGTCCTTGAAATATTCTAAGGAGTGAGAAGAAATGGTGCATTTAAAATTCTCACTGGGAAATAAGATAGGAATTTAATATACAGAGAGGAAAATTAAGCAGAGACAGAACTGTAATCAATATGGTCCTCAAACGAATTGGTAAATCTGAGTCAAAACAAATAACTGAATACTTGTGAAATAATATGTTTTTCAAATAGAATAAAACCCAATTCCACATCCAAAATGCATAATAAATCTATTGTCTCTCTTTTCAAATTATTTCAAAAGTTTTTACAGTAATTTCACATGACAGTGTTTTTTTTTTCCCAGTTTAAATTGTTCATAATTTTGAGCATTTTAAAAACCTCAAAAATTTTTGCTTCTTTGTTATTCAGTTATTGGAGGAGCTCTCCTTTTTGTTCAGATGCATATCTATGTAATTAAGCACACCTGAGTCTCTGTATATTAATGTATTGAAATCTCAGCAAGTATTGCATTGGAAAACTAAATTTAGACTTAAGAAAAGGATAGTACTCCATATTATACCCCCAAAGCTGTCATGAGTTGAACATCAGATATCTACATTTTTTTTCCTTGTTAGGGTCTATTGTGAAATGTTGCTCATTGTCAAGTCAGTGTAAAAACTGCCACCAACTCCAGCAGAGCCAGTGTTTTATCTGCTGCATCAGAAGAACTTTGCAATATTTCTAGTAAGTTACTGAAAGCTGAAATAATACAAAAGCCAAAACCACTACTAATAAAATGCCTGCTAATAAAGCCATTTGTGGTCCAAAGTCTCTTCATCCCTTTTTCATAGAAATCCATGCCTGATTAACTGAGTTTCAAATCATGTGTCAAATAATTGTGAGAAAGTTCTTAGCTACAGACCTGTCCTAACTGGACACAGAGAGTGACTGATACTGAACCCCCAAAGTATTTTCATTTTCTTCCTCCATGCAGAAACTGCAGTCATCGGCTAAACTGGGGTTTTTCTTCAATGCCCTCTCACTTAACCATACTTGCTGTTAAAAGCTTGATGAATGTGAGCACATGCACTGATCCATCCTAATTTATTTTAATTCTGTAGAAAATGTATAGGCAACACATATGAACATACTGGTACTCCGCATATGTTTGTTTATATTATAGAGCATCAATGGGGACCTAATGTCCATCTTCTACACAGTGATAAAACAAAATATGCAATGCAGCTTTATGGGTGAAATACCAATATTCTAACTTGTTTTTTTTTTTTGTAAATATTGAAAAGGTGGCACAGGCAGAATTAGAAAAATTCAAACTGTTTGTTCTCCAAGTCCAGTAAAAAGACATATTCCATCGTAATTTGAGTATTTGTACCAGTATGCAGGTGAGAGATTTTAAAGAAAATAAGAGGCCTATGGCATCCCCAGTGTGTTCTGGTTAAGGCACTTCTGAAGCAATTCTGTCCCACTGAGTTAAATTTATTTTGACTTTTGGCAAGCCCATCAAGAAACTGAGGGGCAAAGAAACAGTAAGTAATAACAATGAACACTGGGAAGTCCAAGACCATCCGGGTGACAGCCTCAGGGCCTACAAGGCCCCAGACTTTTGTCTTTCCTGGTAAACATTTGGGATGAAATCTCAAGGACAAAGTATTTTTATGTGTGTGTTTAGTTTTTGTTTTGTATTTTTTTCCTAATATGTAGTTGAAAAACTGTCTTCATGTGTCAACTTAATTCTTCTTTTCCACCTTCATGTAGCTCTTGTTTGTGTACTAATATTACTGATTGTTTCTTGTTTCAGCTATTTGTACAAGAATGAAATCCAGTCAATTGACAGGCAAGCATTTAAAGGACTTGCCTCTCTAGAACAACTGTAAGTGCCTTTTCTCTTCTGTGCTGTCATCTCCATGGTTCCCCTGCAGAGGAAAAGTGCACGCCTTGATCCATCCATCCTGCCTGCATGCTCTGCATGTCTGCACTCCCTGGGTTGTTAGGCAAAGCACCCCATAATCATCTGCATGTGAAAAAAACACAATTGATCTCTGTGTCAGATTCCTCATTTCTATGTTTGTCTTTTATTTGTGATTTGCATTCCCGGTGTCCCTATACATTGTTACATAACTTTGACGAAGAAGCAGCATTGTTGTGGAAAATGTTGAAAACTAATGTGTATTGGTTAGAGAGAGATTCTGATTTATTTTCTGTAGGTTTTATAACACTGCAGTTCCTTTGACTGCAGCAGCTACTTTGTTTTATGCAGCATAACTAAAGTTGAATTAGTCTCTTGAAGTGTAACCCAATTTTGTTATATTTTAAAACAAGAGATTTAAAAAATAAAACCTTCCTACTATTGATATGTGGTAATCATTGTCATGTACCGATGTTTAAAAAGTAAGAAAGTTCATTGTTTGTAATGTAGATGTTTCAGTAATGTCTTCTAGAAAGATTGATTAAAAGCATACTCCTTTTTCTGTCTAATGACTGAAGAATAAATTTTACTGAAAAAGAATGAAAAATTAAGTCCTTAGCATGACGAAAACTGTACTGATGCAATTAAGTTTAACTATATTTTGTTTTATGATCAGAAATCATTGCTATTAATTCTTTGCGATAATGTTTAGAAAAATAGAAGGAGCTATAAATGCATAGCTATTTCACAGTTTGCCTGCCAAATAACAGTACAAGACCAATGAGTTTTGTAGCATATAAATTCTGGGGGCTGAACATCTTTCTTCTAAAATCAATGTAAATTTTGAAATTCCTGATAGTTATCAGTGTAGTACAAATTTTCTATATGAACCAGTTTCCTTGTTACTATAAACCTCTAGTGGATGCTAGTGGACACAGTGTGTTTCTGAAATAAAATGACACATCAGATGGGTATGAAATCATACAAGCTCATTTTAGAGGGCAATAGATGTTTATTGAGAAATGAGTTTCTATAGAAAACAAAAATGATAATTATAAAACATATATAAATATGTTATTTGTTTCCGTAATGCCTTTCTCTTCCTCTTCCTCTTCCTCTAGAAATGATTACTGCAGCATATTGACAGCAACTGGTAGGGCTTACTTGCATGTGAATAGCAATTACTATTTCTTTGTAGAATTTTAAACATTGAGGCCAATTTATTGAATTACTAATGCTTCTCAGATAGTATTCTTTCCCATGCCACTAGCACGATATGCTGCAAATGGCAACATTTGTCCTTTTTATTTTTGCTCTTTTTCCTGTTGATGTATGTTATGACTGAAAAACGTAAATTGCTTTGGAATACTAAAATCTTCTAAGTGTACTTTTGCACTAGGTTGCCGTTAAGCCTCTCTGCCTGCAGCGATATCACACTGTATCTATCGGCTTAAGGTTAGACTTGAGGCATCAACATTTTTCTGTACGAAATTGAGTTTTAAACAGGGTTTGAGTCTCACCTCTAGCTGGGAAATATGGAAATGGAGCCTGGCACAGACACTGCTCAGTGGCCGCCCTTGTGTCACAGCATCATTTGCCGCGAGCAGTGCCGGTGGCCACTCTGGTGAGCTGCTGGGGGGGCTACTGCCCTGCCGGGGGCACACCAGAAAGCTCACTTCTTTTAAAAGTCCTTCTCCTGGGCAGATCTTAAAAGGAAGGCTTGCCAGGTGGGAAAATAGGAGCACAGAAAGCCAGTGGCAGGCCTGGAAGTAAATTTAATGGAGTATATTCATTGAGATTTGTCGCGTAGGAGAGATTTATCGGTTATGCATCTTTAGCATAAAAATAGGTTCTGACTCTACAGGATCTATTTTATCACATTATCTTTGGGGAAAGACTGTGTTCACAAGACAGAAGTTAGTCTGTGAACAAGTTCATAAGTCATCTAACTTTAGGTGGAGTCTGTATCGACTACTCAGTTGATGTTTCTGTATTTGAGGCTTCTATGGCCTCAAGTTACCAAACACATTTTGCTATTGGTTTTGTTGACTCAGCCAAATGCTCTGCTCAGTGCTCAGCAGAGTTCTCAGAAGTAGATGCTGTGGTCCACAGCTCAGGGAAAGACTTGATTTGTAGTAATTCCTTCTATTCCAATGAAGCAGAATGAAACTGATAGTTGCTTTTGTTAAAAAAAAAAAAAAAACAAAAAAACAAACAAACTGAACAGCAAAGCAAACGATTTTCTGGGTTTATTGGTTTCTGGGTATTTTTTTGTTGTTCTTTGAGAGAAACTGTAAATACACTTTGGTTTAAGAGGCCTGTTGCATGTATAAGGGAAGAAAAACCGCAGTATTTACTGTGGCTGGCAGGATCTTTCTTAAAGCTCCGGCTGCAGAATTCTTAGCTGCTGATGTAGTAGAAATATCTTTTTCTTCAGAAATTTCTGCCAAGGGAATAAGATCTTTGAATCAGATCTTGCAACTCACTTGTGCTAGAGTAAATTCTGAAAAAACCTGGCAGTTTTAGATGCTCAAACATACTGAGCCATACATATTTCGTCACCCAACCCTTCAGTCATGGCAGGGCATGAAGGGAGAAAGTCAGCTGATGAAAAGTAGCCATTTAGTACCAGTTTAGACCCTGTTAAATCTGTAAGACATATGTTTGGGTCTGGCAAATGCGACTCAAAGCTGCAGGAAACTTGAATTTTTTCGGAGCAGCAGCTGGAAGGCAATGAAAGCTGCCTCTATATTCTTGCGCTTAGACAACTGCTATATGCCTTCATATGCCTGTGCTTAGACAACTGAATCCCACCTGAAATGTCTCAAATACCTGGCTTGGGAGGTTACGAGTTTTCTGTATCTGGATCCCAAGATCAAGCTCTAAATGCAGGCTATTTCTGGATGTGTGTAGATGCTTTTCTTCTAAATACCTACTATATTTTTTAGATCTGATCTTAAAAGCTGTATGTATCAGGGCCAAAAAGTGTTCTCTGTAGTCCTTAACTATTGGGATCCCCAAATACTAATGGAATTATTTAAATCCGCTTTCCTAATCTTAGTGGAATATTAACTATACCTTATCTTTTAACTTTAACTTTCATAATAACTTACTGATTTTACTTTTTATAAGCTGTTATTAGTTATACTCTAATTTGTGTATACTTGTACATATTTTGGGGGAAATTAATAGATAAAAATGTTATCTTACATGTAGTGATAAAGCTCGTTATATTAATTTATTTTCCATTTTCAGTATCTTTGAAATTTTGCTATGAATTTTTAAAAGTTTTATATTGTGAAGAGTTCCTGGTTTTCTGCATAACTGTATGTAAGCAGTTATGCATGTTCAACACAGTGGAGACTGATTAAGGTCTCACTGCTGCCAAAAAGTACATATGGGAATGAATAATGAAAGAGAATTAACAAAAAAACCAAACCCAAAAGGTATGAAAGGGGCCTTGAGAATTACATCCTTATACTAAAACACGATCAGCTATGGACAGCAAACCTACATGACTGGAAACAGATTTTTCTCTATCCTTATTTTAAAAGTCTTTAAAGAGAGGATTCCATAATCTCTTTAAGTATCCTCTTCCAATATTTTATATTGTTACTGTAACATCTTATTTAAATCTATTTCCTTGTGGTTTAAGCCTGTTACTTCTTGTCATACGCCTGGGCAGGGAAAGCTCTTTGATAAATGTGGGAAAAATATGTTTGTTCATTTTATTTCAAATAATCAAAATGGTAAACATGCTATTTAAATATTCAGAACATAGATTATACTCAGCTAATGGATTTCAAGTACTTCCCCAAAGATATGGAGATACTACTAGAAATGAACGATTGACATACATGATAACAGTAATCCTCTACAAAAATACTATAGTACAGAAGATATAATCCTAAATTTAGTGCTGTGAAAATGCCACTGGGGACTGAATTTTACTGTAAATGTTCATCCTCTAAGATTAATAACAACAAAGAGAAAATCTGTACTATGATCATTTGATGAAATCTTTATCTCCTCTGGGTGTGTTTGGTTTGGACTTTTTTCTTCCTTTAGATATTTCCTTTCCTTCTGTTTCATCCTTGATAGTGCATTCAGAACTAAAAAAGGAAGACACAGGGGTATTTAAAAATCACTCTTGCATGCTTTTTCTTTAAATTTCCATTATATAAGTCTTTTTAATATCAAATTCTTTACACCATACTACTATTTTTAAGAGCATTTTATATTCTGAACATAAAAGTTGTCTATAAAGATTTATCAGTGTGAGATTATTTCCTGGTTACCTTTAAAGTGAATTTCCAGTCTAAGAAATTCTCCTATTAATTAAAATATTAAAAATTCTTTAAAAGAAAAATTAATGTGGTTCATAGAAGAAAAGAATGTAAGTGATAAACTTGAATGATAAAATGTGATTAAACTGTAGGTCATAAAGCCAAGGACTTTTTATTCTTTCTACCGTAGTCTTACAAAGCAATCTGGTTTCTGCCATAATCATGAATCTGTAATTTTTTTAGAATTACACTTGTTGCTAATTACTTTGCTCACATATTTAACACCTTGATCTGTTCATAAATAGCCTTACAAATTGTTCAGGAGTTTTTTGAGGTCATAATTTAAAGACCTGCAAAATCCAACTAATTTGTCATATGAAGCAGATAAAAGTGTTTTCCATCTGGTCTTCATGATTTGGTTTTTTGAGCTACTTTAGGCAGCATGATCTCTGATGAGGTAAAGTTAACTGTTACAATATGCTTCAGTGTCTGAATTGTTGTAGTTGTATCTGTGATGATTTGAAGCTGTAAACAAGGCAAGGTTTATAAAAGAAGTATTGTTTTAATTAGACTGATTAATTTGGTTGGAAAAGCATAATGAGTTTTCAGGCACATAAAGTATTCTTTACATATGTAGTTATAGTAGTCCTGAACGCTAAACAGCAGTTATGAGCTGCTGCTTTGAGTTTAATGATGTATACATCAGTTAAAACATCTGAGAGAGGTGTCCTTTCTTTTTCTCTCTTTACTAATCTCACCTCTGGTCCAAGGACCTGCAGAAGTGGTTGTGTGCCTCAGTGTGCCTGCTTTTACCAACATTATTTGTTGATCTAGTTAGAGGTATTACTTGTACCTACAAGTCTTGCCTTGTTAATGCCAAAGAAGTAGTAGAGATTAATTTATTGGGAAGATAAGGAGATGTATTTGCAAGGTTATCATAAATCATAAAAATGCAGGTAGAATTAACAAAGCTAAAAAGGAAAAAATCCCCGTTGGCTGCACAAGGAGTAGTGTATGTTTTTTTTTTTTTTTTTTTTCCAAAATCAAAGCTGCTTCAGAAGAAGTAACAAACCCTATGGTTGTGCCTGGTTTTTCCCTTTGTCCCCTTTCACTGCAGTGCTCCCCACCTTGCTATGGCCCCTCTCAAATGTTGCTGATGCTGGGGAGTGGGGCGAGCGGAGCCTTGGCTCCTGGTGAGCTGTGCCTGCCCACCTTGTGCCCACGGGGCAGATACCAGCCCTGTCCTGCCAGTCCTTCCCCAGTGCTTGGCGGACTGAGCTCTCTCTTCTCTCTGCTGGCGATCTGAATGAGCCTTTCAGGAAGTATCTGCCTTTGAGATGTCTGTCTTCTTAATTTAGAGGAAATTGGCCTGCATTTTCAAAAGGGAGAAGAAGACTGGCAGGCATAGCGTGACCATGCACTTCTTGTTTCCTTATGCAAACAGGATCACACTCTATGCTCACTACAATACATGGCCACGCGTTGTGCTGGCAGTGAGCAGGCTTGACACTCCGATGTGCCTGATCACATTCGTGCTGATTTACTGGCTTTTTCCGTGGTCCCCGTTCACTGCTCCCTGGCGTCGCTCGCTGGCTTGCTGTCGGGCCGCGCTGCAGCTGGCGGGGGGCCTGGGAGGCTGCCAGGCACGTGCCTGGTTCCCCTGCCCCACGCGCCTGCCAGCACCCGCTGCCGCCTCTCGCTGCCGGAACCGCCACTTGTTCCCGCTTTCCCCTCCCTGCGGCGACCAATTTCGGGTCGGGTCAGGGGGTAGAGCACGTGTGGTGTCTCAGCACAAAGGAGTCCCCATGTCTTTTTGCTTCTCATGCCAGTTGATTGATTTTTCGGGAGGTTTTGGTGATCTGAGATTTTCGCTATGTTTCTAAAGATGGGCTTTTTAGTTCTTCAGCCCACAGTGTTTACCGTATATGCACATTCTCCAGATGTTCCTGAGTTTGTCAGAGGTCAACTAGGAAACTGTGGGAGGTTTGGACACATTTGGATATAGACAGGATCCCGAGCCTATAAATCATTTTCACAGTTCCTTGTGCAAGTCTTATCAATTACTTCTTGTTTTCTCATCTGCAAGGTTACTGAGTACCTCCACAACATAGTCAAGGCTGGGATGACCCTGCCTTTGCAGTTCATTTTCACAGCAGTTACAGATTAACAATCTGGTTAATTATCTTGTTACTCTAAACTTTTTCAGTTTTACAAGATTAACATCTGTGTAATATTTGTTGCTGTGTAATATTAATAGCTTACACAAGCATCAACAGAGCATCAAGCAGAGCACTGCTGTGGTGGTTAATTGTACCCCAGTTGCTGGGAAGCCCTTTGCCTAAAAGCAATTCAATCTAGCTTGTTTTAATATTGTGCATTTGTTTGGCTTTTGAGCTTTTGAGGGCATTCATAGCTTTAAATGCCAGTATTCATGGACTAGAGCAGGTTACTTCTCAGCATCTTTTGAAACTTCCACTCAGTGTGATAGCAATGAAAGTAGTTGCCCACTAAAAATGTCATTCTGTTGGAAACTGTAAATGTTTTCTAAACAACTTGCAACATTTTCCTGTAAAAAATAGTAATTTTCTTTTTTCCATATATATTTATTCAAGGATGCATACGAATGTAAATTAGACTTCGTAAAAGGGTCTTCAAAGTTGTACCTCCAAAATCTCAAAAGTAATGGTTTTCAGATGTTTATTTTTGTGCATATATGTGCAGACACACACATACGACATGGTGGACTGCAAACGCTTCTTGTCACGTCTTGTTTTTCTTAGATTGAAGTACAGGATTCAGATGATAACAGAATAAAGTTAAGCCTCTACATCACTAATTTTTTTTTTTTTTTTTTTTTTTTTTTTTTTTTACATATTTTCAGGTATCTGCACTTTAACCAAATAGAAACATTGGAACCTGAATCCTTTACCCATCTTCCAAAACTTGAAAGGCTGTAAGTTTGTTTTACTTGGGGTAAGATTCAGAAGTCAGCTTGCTTCTTTGTTTGAATTAAATTAAATGTTTGAAACGGAAAAATAATATTTTTATCACTCCCATAGAATATTTTTATTCTAATTTTTTTATTGAAACTACTACATGGTCTTTGCCAAGAACACTTTGGTCAGGCTGACCCTGAGGCATGCAGAAGTGAGCATTGCCTGGGTTATAGTTTTCTATTGCAAAACTATTTCCAAAAGGTCTGTGATCAATGTTTGGCCTAAAATAAATGTTATGAATGAAGAAGTAGAAGATACATATTATTACTTTTTTTTTGTTTGCTTGTTTCTCATTTGAATGCTTATGAACTCCCTTCCTTTTGGTTACTTTGTCTTTTTATGGCTTCTTTTTCCCCATATGGACATACCAAATACACCTTGGAGGCTACGTAAAAAATAGCAGCCAATGAATTGCTGAAAAAGTTTAATTTTTTTTTGTATTTTATAAAATAACTTTCTCTTAGAGGACTTTCAGAAGAATGTAAATTAAATGAATACGTCTCAAAATCTGAATTATTACATGCATATATCTGTGCTTTTTAACAGATTTTTGCATAACAACAGAATAGCTCATTTGATTCCTGGAACGTTTAGTCACTTAGAATCTATGAAGAGACTGTAAGTAAACTGAATTATTATTGAACTAAGGAATGTTTAAATAATCTAATTATATTGCATCTCACCTTGCAATATTTATCATTTTGCAAATGCCTTTCATTGTGTAATTGTTTTAAATAATTTTGACTAAGTTATGTTCCAATGGTTTATGTACATAGATTGAAACCATTGCTTCATATCCTACTGTCTTTAGTGACTGACTAAGTCTTTCTGTTTGTTTCCTGTCTTGGAATTATTTGTAATCATATGGTCTTGTTTTGTAGACTAAATAATATCCATGGATCCTACTTTGTATTGTGTTTTTTTTTTTTTTTTTTTTTTTTTTTGAGGTGGGTGGAATATCCCCCTCTTGTCTATATATTACTAGGTAATCCTTTTATGATGTCTTTCACTATTTGATTATTTTGGTATTTTTTAATTGATTTACATATCCTTATCTGATGATAAAAACATAGTTACATAAAGGTGCTCAATGGTTAAGAATATGATATTACTTTCACAAGCAACTCTAGAAGCCAGTTCTTCCTGAAATGCCATTAACTTGGAAAATTAGAAGCTTCTTAGTCCCTCAGTAGTATTTGAAAACTTGAACTCAGTAATAGTACTGTAGTAAGGTGACTTTCAGATGGTTTTCTATCCCTTGCTTTGGATCTCCACTGCTCTAGGATAAACATTCTTTAAATTCTTTAAAATCTTTAAATCCAAGACTTTTATTTAAATTCTTTAAATTCTTTAAATCCAGGACTGCCATTTTGACCTTTAAATTATCCAAGACTGCTGATTTGAGGAAGGCGGTTCTGCATTCATACCCTGCTTTTAGGAAGGAGTGCTGAGGTTGTTCTGGGCAGTGAGTCACAGTGCTAGCTCTGCCGGGAAAAGACATCTCAAGGGATGTAATAGGAAGGTGCTGGTTTAGAACAGTTGTGAAACCGTACCTTTATCTATGGGTGAAAGGCAGAATAAAGTAAATTTTGATGATGTATGCACCTTCCAGTAATAGCTGCTTCACTCATACCTCCCTTAATTTAGAGTTCAAGTGAACAGAAAGTTCAAGTAAAAGAGTTTTGCTTGTTCTTTCCTGTTTTTCCTAGGAGAACAGGGAAGAAATAATATCTGTGCATTTGTAGAAGAGATTAAAAAAAGTACTAAAAGAAAAAATGTTCAAAAAGTTTACTACTCCCAAAGATACACCAAACTGAGTTTGCTTTGCCATGCAATTTTATTTCCAATCTATCTAGGTATATTTCTTGCTACATATTTATGTACTTAATGCTGGGTTTTTTTCTTACAAGGCCCTCCACCAGAAAGTGCAGTGCTCCACGTAGTAACAAGGCCCTTCACTACTGGAAAGTCAACAGAATTTATGGGTTCTCATTATCTACAATAGGCAGGTGTTTTACGAAGTTACTGACCCACTGAACTAAATGAGAGCTTAATGATTAAATAAAACTATGGGTCTTTGTCTCAGTTGCCTGATCAGCAAAATTGGAAGTTGTAAAAATGTCAGGTTAGCTGTGAGGTTACTCCAGTAATAAGTGTTAAACAGGAAAAAATATGGGGAGAATTGTATAAGTTCTTTACTTAAGCAAAGTTTGTATAACATCTAAATAAAACCTGATTTATTCACTGAATGCTGTGGTTAAAAATGAAACGTTTAGATGCTTGCTATGTTGAACACAGTACTACCAGTGCAATTAAAATAATACACATTTTTGTAATAAAGACTACCAGAATGCATATAATCAAGTGTTCATCACCTATATTCCATATTGCCTGTTGTCTGTATTCACAGGTAAAGGTGTTGCTGGTATTGAAGCACCTTTTTGATCTTAACAAAATAGTCAAAGCTTGCTCACAGTTTTTTATGGCTGCTGCTTGTTTTGTGCAGGCGTTTGGATTCAAACGCTCTTCACTGTGACTGTGAAATCCTGTGGCTGGCGGAGCTGCTGAAGACATATGCAGAGTCGGGTAATGCTCAAGCAGCAGCTACCTGTGAGTATCCACGAAGGATCCAGGGAAGATCAGTGGCCACGATAACACCAGAAGAACTTAACTGTGGTGGGTTTGCCACTTTCTGATGGCTTCTTTAATGTGTTAAATGTACCTAAACTTTTTTTTTTTTTTTTTTTTTTTTCTTTTTGGTTAGAATTTCTTGTTCTGTTCTCTTCGATGACACTGCCTCTGGTCAATATTGGTCATTTCCAGAAATCTCCCTGTGTTCCTTCCCAGTTTTTGTCTGCTTCTGACAGAACTGATTGCTTTTACCTCTCAGCCTATCTTTAATTAAACACATATAGACATGTTTGAAATTTCTCCTTGAGGAACTAAATGTGATTATCCAGAAAGAGTTTATTTTTCTTTGTTATCAGTTTTGATCATAAAATATTGTCAATTAGTGTCTTTGGTGTTATGTTAATATTGTTTGGTGTCCTTTCTTCCCTTCCATAGAAGCTCTACAGAATTGCTCCTGATTTCACAGATCTTATTGTTAAAACTCTTATTGATATTATTGGAATTGGGGTCAGGCCACACGATTTCTTTTTTTACTCATCTATACTTACAAGGAGTGCCCTGCACAGTCACTGAAATCCTCTGACACTGAAGGATTAACGGATAACCATTTTTCTTATAATCCTTTTGTTCGTCTGATTCCTTCAGCCTAGGGGTGCAAAGGCTAGCCTCTGTGGCTACCCTGGGACTTGGCCCCACACTTCTTCTGTTCCAAAATCAAAATGCAGATTTCTCATCAAATTATGGGCATTTGCTTGCCCAGCCATGTGATGAGGTCAAAATAAAAAATAAGTAAATTGTCCTTTTTGGTTATGTGTTGGGTATAATTCTGATCATGAGAATTAAGACTATAAGTGTCTATGAGGCTCTTGAAAAAGATAGTAAAAAGAGGATTTGGTGCAAGACTAACTCACATGGCATCCTACCAGCTCTCTGCACATCTAAGGAGCCCGAATATGGAAACAGCAGGAAGCAAGCTGGACAAATTATTCTGTAGGAGGCAGGTTAGGCACTGATACTTATCTAGAGGAAGTTATTTTAAATGGCACTTGTGCTTGCTGCTTTAAAGTTTTTCCTTCATAAGCACATTGAGCCCATGTTCAAATAAATAAAACAGGCACTTTAGAACCTGATACAAATTTGCACAATCCATTTGCAGTCTGCTAAAAGGTCCGAAGGAACAATGGAGGAGGTCAGAAAGCCTGCAGTCACTTTTGTATAGAGAAAAGTGTGTTTAATCTTGATTAAGGTTATAAATATTTTAAATTAAAACATTTGTGAAAAATACTTTTCTACAGTGTGTGTGGAAAATTTTTTATTTACCATTCTTTAGTAGTTTCAAAACAAGTAAGAGTTCCTTGTATGTTTTATTGTTGATACAGAGAGGCCAAGAATTACATCAGAGCCTCAGGATGTGGACGTTACCTCAGGGAATACAGTGTACTTCACTTGCAGAGCTGAAGGCAATCCTAAACCAGAAATTATCTGGCTTCGAAACAAGTAAGTTTAAAAGAGGAAGAGAGAAACTTGATGAAAATATGTTTGTTTGAGTGTGTGTACATTTCTGGGTGCATGTCCACATGCATTATATGCTAGTATATGGAACAGTTACAGCAGAAACACATTAAAAGAAGTATATGAGGTAATAATGGCCCAGATCTTTTTCACTGGTAATTTTTAAACACCTAAGAGTTGATAACTTTAGAAAATATTAATTTATGACTGTAGTACTATTGGTAAGATTTTCAACTGTAGTTAGACCTGCAAAGTTGCTCACACCGGTAAAACTAAATCATTCACCTGTAAGTACCAGGCAATCCAATATGAACACGTTGCACATGGAGTTTGTGGGTTAGCTAGTGTTTGCATACATTTTGAGGCAGAGAAAAAGCTACTCTTTTAAAGGACTCCATCTGGATAAGAGTTAGATTTCAGAGAAGGTCTTTCTTGAGCCTTAGCTACTCAGAGGCAGCTTTCTTCTGAGGTGTAGCTCCATTCCAGTAGAGGAGAGATATATCAATTTCCAGGCTCTCCAGACTGGTATGTGGAGGTCAGGCAAATGCTTATATTGTAGGATTGTAGGGTAATTCAGGTTGGAGGGGCTCTTAGGAGGTCTCCAGTGCAGCCTTCTACTCAAAGCAGAATCATACCAGGTTGATGGGTATCCAGTTGTCCAGTTGGGTCTTAAAAGAGTCCAGTGATGGAGGTAGCACAAGCTCTCTGGGAAACCTACTTCATTGCCTCTCCTCACTGCTTAGGGGATGGAGTGAAGGGCCTATAAAGGACGTGTGTCTTTTGGCAGCCCAAGGGCCAGTCTACTGCAGAGTGGTGGCTCAAGCTCTGCCCAGAGCCTGGCTCCCTCCAGCAGCACTGGGCACAGCATGGCTGAACCAACCACGTGGCAGCACATTGTGCCCCTTAAAACTGTTATGAATTTATGATGGACACATGAATTGTGAGTTTACCGCTAGCTTAATCAGGCTTTGGCTTAATAATGCTCTTGTACAAAAATCTTATCTGGAAAATAAATTTCCTCACCTTTTATATTAGATAATAAACAATTTTAGCTTGCTAGTTGCTGATGAAATGGAACAACTTAGAGTCCTGGTTCTGTAGCTTTCTGCTGATGTTAGTGAGAACCCCACATACAGCAAGGGTACAATGTTTATGGCGGGTGTCCAGAACAGAGCCTTGAACTTGGATGGTCTAATTATTTCATTAAAATTTTCTTTGGCTCATGTACTTTTTATAATAAACAAAGAAAACATGTATTCAGAATACACATATGAAAGAGTTTTAAGAAGAAATTTGAGCTTGGGGTGTGGGATTATTGACTCTGGCTTGTTTCCTGACTGCATGAATGAGAGAAAAGCTCTTTGCAAGGTAGTTGAATATGGCAAGGTTTCAGTCAAAAGCCATTGACCTGTTGAACAGTATGTTGAATAGATCAGCAGTCAGGCTGGATTTTGTACATAGGGGGTGAAAGCTCATCCCTCCTCTGTGTTTTCTTCATCATATAGTGAGGGACAGAGTGAGAAACAGTTCCTTTAATAAAAACCCCTAATCGTTCTTAGTTAATGTCGCAGAAATGCATCCATGACGTAGCCTGAAGACCTGATCCTAACTTAAGTTTCAAGCCAGTACAAATTATAATCAGGTTCATTAGTGTTCCTTGAGCAATCCAGACAGAGATTGACATAAAGAGGGTTTTGTAGCAACTAACTCCTCTCCTAGTAAAAAGTACCTTGAGTGTTGATCTTACATGATATACTTCCAGTGGAAATATTTTAAACTAATTTGCCAGTTAGAACAGCCTTAAAGGAAAATGAGACCAGATATGTGTATTTTGTCCACTTTTTTCCCTGTAAGCTTTTACTCATTTTGGCTTTTCATTTTGAAGATGTAATACTTGCATAAGCAAAATTGGTTGATTTTTTTGTTTTTCCTCTTCTTCTTCTCTTTATGAGGAAACTAAAGTTCTATTATTTTTACTTAACATAGCAAAACGTTTTTTTTCCCCCAAGTTATTTTGGGTACTGTGTTTTGGGTTTTATTATTTGGCAGTTTTCTGTGCTTGTGATTTAAAGGTTTAACTCCAGCAGATTATTTTCTTCACAGTAATGAGCTCAGTATGAAAGAAGATTCCCGTCTAAACTTGCTAGATGATGGCACGTTAATGATTCAGAATACTCAAGAAACAGACCAAGGCATTTACCAGTGCATGGCAAAAAATGTGGCTGGAGAAGTGAAAACTCAGGAAGTTACTCTTAGATATTTTGAGTCACCAGGTAAAGGACATCAAGTCTGAATTCTGCATTCAGATAGAGAATCGTTTTGATAATAAGATTGCTAAAAATAAGATGCTGTGGCTCTCGTATGTTCTTGACACGTAGATTTCCTGTTCTTGGGCATCTTAAGAACTAGATCATGAAGTTATAGCATCCTTAAAGTAACAATGAGAATCAGCCAGTTACTTAATATGTTTATTGTAGTATGCAATTCTGATGATAGTCTTGTAGACTGTTTGTAGAAGGTGTTGCATTGTGATGTTGCTCAGTGCCATAATGTTCTCTCTGGATACCTGAAAACCGCAGGCTTCTGAACAGGCCACTCATGAAAGCTTTGGTACACTCTTTGTAGCCATCCTTGCTCAGGAGCTTTTTAGCCTGAATCTCAGTCTAGCCAGGGCTTTGTGTTTGCAAGCACTAAATTCCTGTCCAGGACGGCAATGTTTTTAAATTCCAAACTTTGCTGTGAGAAAATTTTGTTTTGACAGTCAGCATCAGATAAACTTAAAATGTCACTGGGAAGCACACATATAGTTGGGAAAAGTTACTAAAATGTAGCTTAATCAGTTTTGACTTTTTGTGCACTTACGGCAATTTTTAGCCAGCCAGTTTGTTTTCTGGGTCTCAGTGTCTATGTCTCTAAAGAAACCTTTATAAGATCAGCAAATGAGAAGGAAATATTTGAAAATTGTTTTAATGGGAGTTAAGAAAAAACATCAATGCAATTATATGAGGCATTTTTTTTGGTTTGGTTTGGTTTTTTGTTTTTTTTTTTTTTTTTTTTTGAACAGAGCTATTAAAAAACCCCTAGATTCCCCAAAATATTGCAATATTCAGCTAAATTAATGCTATGTGAGCTAAAAGTCATATTTAGGTATTGTTCTTTTCTCACAGCCCGGCCAAGTTTTGTGATTCACCCTCAAAATACCGAAGTGCTAGTTGGAGAGAGCGTTACCCTGGAATGCAGCGCAACCGGGCACCCTCAGCCGCGAATTACCTGGACCAAAGGTGACAGAACCCCTTTACCAAGTGACCCTCGTATCACAATAACTCCATCAGGAGGACTTTACATACAAAATGTGAAGCAGGAGGACAGTGGCGAGTATACCTGTTTTGCAACTAACAGCATAGATAATATCCATGCGACTGCATACATCATAGTCCAAGGTGAGTAATGTTAAACTAGGAGCGACGTGCTATAAAACATGCAAGGAAGAGTATATTACTTTCAATTGTGTGGTCTTATCTTTTTTTCTGAATTGTCAGAACTGAACCAAAACCATAAGTTTTTTTGTTTTAATTACACTATTCTAGTGTAGTCCATAGGAAAGCTGCTATGAATAAGATATTATATACTAATTCTCTGAAAGTTAAGTTTCATTGGTTATTTTCGGAAGTTAATCATTGGTATTTTGAAATGTTTATTTCTTATTATATTTTATTTGCTTGTAGGAATAAACACGCAGTGTCAAATTTATGGGGATTGAGTTTTTTCTGTAACAGGCAGCAATCCTGGAGAATAGAATTTGTGCCTGGAGTACTAGAAATGAAGTTTTGAGCATAGATCTGTGCTGCCTTCCTTTTGTAGGCACTTCAGTGAATGTGGGAACATATTCTGCTGAGTTTCATGGAAACTATCACTCTGCCAGCTGAGGCGTTGGCATAACTTTTCTGCAAAACAAAAGTCAAAGTACTCTAATTTATTGTGATTGCAATCATTTTGGTATTGTATGTCAAAAGGATGAATATAAAGTATTTTGAGAACAATATATCAAAATCCTCCTATATGTATGGAGAATATTTTTTGCATATATTTTCATGCTGGAACTTATTTGCAAAACATTTTGAGTAACCTTTAAATTTTAAGTTTGTTTCTGTTCTCATGTTAAGATCTCTAGTTGGCAAAGAGTTTAGGTTGCAAATGCTTTGTTAATGAGTTCAGTTTTTAAAGCTACACAAAACAACTTGTTTATGTGGTTTGTTCATTTCTTATTCACCAATGGATGCTTGTGTTTTGAGAGCTGGACAAATTACTTCTCAGACTAATAATGCCATGATGCTAGTGCAGAAATTGGCCCACACTCTACTCACTGCTTTCCTTTTGTGTAAAGAAGAAAACAAGCAGCGCAGGATAGTTTTGACTACATTGCATTTTCTTCACAATTTACCTGAGGATTTTTCTGAGAGAAAAAGAAGGTTTTTTTAATTAGGGGAACACTGTGTTTGATTCTGCAAATCTTACTGTACCTCTCATTTTGGACCTATGGCAGTAAATCGCAGAGGCCTTCACTGACACTAGGGCCAGGTTGTGAGGAAGATGTTCCCGTTGCACAAGTGGCTGCCCTAACTCTCTGCTCTATAGAGGTCACAATATAAGAGTCCCATTAACATCTCTTTTCCCACCAGTATGAGCTATTAAAGTCACTCAGGGACCATTATATCTTCTCAGAGAGTCGTGCATTTTTCAGGTATTTTTTTAGACCGGTTTATTTTCTCTTCTGTAGCTCTACCTCAGTTTACTGTCACTCCTCAAGACAAAACAGTGATTGAAGGACAAACTGTTGACTTCCCTTGTGAAGCGCAAGGCTATCCCCAGCCTGTTATTGCCTGGACTAAAGGAGGTAAGCATGTTCCATTTTTACTTTTAAACTACTAGAATAGTTTAGCTGTCATTTTGGAATCACTCGTGCATTGAAAGGATTTACATGTATTTTTTGAGATGTTTCAATCTCTGAAAGAAACAGGGCTCATCTCTTTCTGCTTTAGCTAGAAAGGGCAAGGTGTCCCACAGAAGCTATCTGTCCAAACATTTTTCACTATTCCGTAAAAAAAAGTCACTAAAATGTATGTCTCCATAATAGATTCCTAGTAATAAATGTTTAAGAAATATGAGACATATCACATGTAGGAATGCCTATCACTGCTGGGTTACTGCAGAAGCGGAGATGACTATCACTAACTGGAGATCTGAAATTAGGTGGGATGTGGTCTCTTCAGAAACCAGAACAGTCCAACCTGTAACTGGCATTGGTATAACTGCATTTCTGTCACTTAATGCACATTGACTGGAACGCTGAGGTGCACTCTGCTGACTGTTTTATCAGATTGTGGTTGTAAAGGCATTAAGCCAAATTTAGTGGGAAGAAATACTGTAGTGGGTGTTTTATCAGTAAGTAAATATACCAGTTGAATCAAATGAAATAGCTCAAGTAGGCAAAACAACTCTTATGAAATTCTAAATTGTGGTAGATAAAGCAGATTTTTAACAAATTATTGATCATATTGATGATGATAATGTACCTGTTTCTCCCCCTACCAAGATTGCTCCAGTCAAATGAAACATCCAGAAAGCAAGAATAGGATACAGACACTAATGTGCCTTTTATTTCATTTTTATTATATTCCATTTTTTCAGAGCTCTATGTATTTTTCTATGGATTCTCTAGATAGCCTAGGCAGATGCGATGAATTATGTCTTACACACACAGAACTATACAATATCTCAAGTTAAAAGGGATCCATAAAGATCATTGAGTCCAACTCCCTGCTCCTCAGAGGACTACTTAAAACTAAATCATATGACTAAGAGTGTCATGTTCATCATGCTTCATGGTATCTTCCTTCTGTACATGGTACATGGCAATAACATGACATGAACAGCAATACCTGTTGGTGTTCTTCTTATGATACCTTCTCATTTGGATGCTTTATCATGCTCCTTAAATTAAAATACTTATTTCCACCACAAACAAAGAAGAGATCAAGATTATGATTGTGTGCATATGTTTGTTTTGTTTGCTTTGCATGTTAATCTTCTGAGAAGTGAAGATTTCAACCCTTTTTTGTTTTTTTTTTAGAAACTTTAATTTTTTCCAATGCTTTATCAAATTCGAGATCTTCTGGATTTTCCCTTTTCTGACACAAAGAGTTGTTTTGCACTGCTATAAACAGCAAATCCTGTTGCTCTGTTTCAGGAGGCCAGTTGTCTGTTGACAGAAGACACTTAGTTCTATCCTCTGGAACCCTAAGGATTTCTAGGGTTGCTCTGCATGACCAAGGACAGTATGAATGCCAAGCTGTCAACATTATCGGATCTCAACGAATTGTTGTATACCTGACTGTACAGCCTAGAGGTATGTTCTCCATATACAGTGCCAAAAAAAAATGCAAACAGAACACAGCAATTTAAACTTAAACCAAAATACATGGTACTGTATTTGATTTTTTTTCTGCTGCGGTTTGAACTCAGAGGGCAACTGAGCACCACACAGCCGCTCACTCCCCCTTCCCTCCCAACAATGAGAAGGGGAAAATAAACCAGCCTTGGGATTAAAGATAAAACGGGGAGGGGCAAATCACCCATTATGGTCACGGCCAAAAGGCAGACTTGTTAGGGGAAGAAAAAAAAGAACATGTATTTATTATAGATGCTAACAACACCACTTAGCAGAGTAGGACAGTGAGAAGCATTTGCCACATCTTGATAACACCTTCCCCCCACCCTTCTCTTCTTCCCGGGCTCAGCTCTGCTCCCGATATCTCTACCTCCTCCACCAGCGGTGCAGGGGCAGGGAATGGGGGGTACAGTCAGTGCTGCCGCTTCTTCCATCTTTTGTGGGGGCAGCTTCTGGAACTTCGTCTCCCTGCTCCAGTGTGGTCTCCCTCTCACAGGATACAGTCCTCCACAAACTTGCTCTGATGTGAGTTCCTCCCATGGGCCGTAGCGTTCCCCACACTGCTCCATCATGGGTCACTAACTTTCTCCAACTGGATTCCCTCCCATGGGCTGCAGCCCTTCCCAAGCTGCTTCGTCATGGGACACCCCCACGTGCTGCAATCCTCCCAGCGCTGAATTACAACAGCGGAAGCTACTTTTGCCCACAAGATCCCAGCTTTCTTCTGGCACAATCACCTTGGTCAGCCATGCAAAGCCCTTCGCAGACAATAAATCAATGTCTGCTCCACTGTAGATCTTCATGGGTGGCAGGGGGGGCCGCCCTGCCGTCTCACCACAGGATACAGGGGGGTCTCTGCTCCGGCACACCTCTCCCCTCCTTTCTTCCTTCGTCCCTCCACTGACCTTGGTGTTCACGCAGCTGCTGCAATGCCTCCTCACAAGTCCGACTCCTCCTCATCACATCCCTTCTTAAATACATTATCGTAGAGGCGCAGCTGATTGGTTTGGCCTTGGTGCAGAGGGCGAATCTATCTTGGAGCTGGGGGAGCTTCCAGAAGCTTCTCACAGGGGACCACCCCTATAACCCCCTCCGATGCTACCCGAAAAACCCCACCACTCACTCAAACTCAGGAAATTTTCCTAAAATATAACATTTGGAATTATTTATTTTTAATGACACAAAATGTTAATATGAAGTAGTTTGTTTAGAATTAAAAAGCTTTTTGAAACAGAGCTTGAATAGTGCTTGGGGTTTTCTTCAGGACTTTTGCTGCATTTTGTAGCGATTCTAAGTTGCTGGTTTTGAATTATAAGGTGTTTTATTAGCTTTTATAAATTGAACATGTGTGAGAGCATGCCCTGATAGACTTTGTTCAAAGTCACTTTCAGACTAGCTAAACTTAGAACTAAACATGGCCTTTTTTTGATTAAAAGTTTGTTAGAATGAGGCTATATCTTTTGTTGTTTAAAAAACTTACTGTTCATGATATTGCTAACATTTCACATTTCTGATCATTATTTCTAAATATATCTACTTTTAGATTCCACGTGTTTTTTAATAAATAATATGTATGGATACTTATCAGCATTTGTACTGAGCATCATTCCTTTAGAACAGTCTGTCTTTTGTGAAAGAGGTTTATCCAATTTACTCTTTTTTGTAAAGAATGGAAGTTTGCTTTGAGGATGGCAGTATTCCTATGCTTGAGAAAATATTTTGTTTTGTGAAAAGACTAGTTTCTTATAGACTATGCTGTTAATTAAATAGTGTTATTAACATAATGTTTTGATGTCCAGAAACAAAACACTTTATTTTACAACAGCAGAATGACCTTCACAATGAAAAGACATTCTTTATACTTAAAATAAGCTGACACAGAAAAAAAACCCAAACCACTCAATTTTTCTTATGCTTTTCTTCAAGGAAATTCTAAGTGAGCTACCTCTAGGATTAATTAGAATCTTATTAATATTTATAATTTAGTTAAGTACTTTGGTGTATAACTAAATTCGAGGAGATTAAACATTTAATTCAAAACATTTCTTGATAGTGACCTCATTTTAAACAGTATTTTAGTGAAGGTGACTCAAATGTCTTCTTGAGCTTAGATGTTTCTCAGAAAAAAATTCCATTGATTTTTTCTTAGTTAAGAGTAGTACTGGGAGATTGATTTGTCAAAATTGAGATTTTTTTTCCACCTATATAAAATTATTGACTAAAATTCCATAAAACAAAACTCAGTTTTAAAAGTTTTATAGCCTTCCAGCTGTGTTAAACTTCACTGAATTGAGTAAAGTTTAATAAAACGATTTTTGTATAACTCGGGTTGCAAAATCCACTCGCCAACAGATAGTAAATGCAAGATTGAAGCCTGCATATGCAACCTGAATTTGGAGCTCTCCATACAATCATTGCAATGCTGTTTATAGTTGTGCAAGAATAGGAAACTTTTTCTTATGGGCTTCTAACAAATCATTGTTCATCTGAGGAATGTCTAGTCCGTGGTCACTGTGGCTAAATCTGTATCAATGAATACAGATTAATGGTCCAGGTCTGTTTGCTGGCATGATGTGGCTCACATCCACAGAGCCAGACTCTCTTACCTCCCAGTGCTGGACGTCTGCCTCTGGATGCCTTATTTGAAATGGTTTCTGGTCTTTGACAGCCATTTTCAGACAAACAATTTAACACCAGGGCCAGATTTGGTTGGTAGTATAAATGTATGCTGTCTGGCCAAATACTCCTCTGTAAAAGCACAGCCCCCTCCTACTCATCCAGTCATACTGATATCTTACAAAAGAAATACAGTTCTTAGTGCTTCATAAAGCTGTACATTCTTCTCATGATGATATCTAAGTGTTGGATGTCAACCTCAATTTGGAGGACATTAGGATTAAACAATGCATTAAGTTTCTTCATACTGGGTTTAAGTAACTGTGTACCCTGCATCCTTAAAATTGAAGGCGATCTTTTGATGTTTTAATGCCTGGGGCTCATTGGTGTCATGGGCATAGGAGCTCTGTGAAGACTTAGCACCTCAGCAAGCCAAGATGAGGGAATCACAGTTGAAGGAATTGTGAAAAATTTTGGTTTTATCATCTAAGAAATTTCTGTAGTTGCTATTTAAAAAACTAAATTAAATTTACAGAAGTTGATGAGATATTCATTCTGGTGACTTTGTTCAGCTTTAACTATTCACAGAATTTTTTTTCAGAGCTCTTAATTTACGGAATTTAAGTTTTTTTGGCAACTACTAGCCTGTTTTGTTAGAAGTTAAGAGTTTAAGATTAAAAATCAGCCTGAAGCAGACATCAGGAGCAAGGAATTTTATCTCTAAGACAAACTTATAAGCAACTAAAAACTTGCAGACAGAGTTACAGATTAAGAAATGTTGGGTAACTGAAGAAAATAAACAGTGTTGACCTCTTCTTAGATTTTATTTTGCACAAGTTGTATTTGATACCTTCTCAATGTATCATTTGCTTTTTTAGTGACTCCTGTATTTGCCAGCGTTCCCAGTGACATGACAGTGGAGGTTGGCACAAATGTGCAGATCCCATGCAGTGCTCAAGGAGAGCCGGAGCCAGTAATTACATGGAATAAGGTACTAGATATTTGTTTGGTTGTTGCAGAAAGGCAAAGGCCTTTCCATCTCTTTAATAACTAGCTATTTAAAATGCATGTGGTCAAATTATTGCTTGCTTTGCTGTCTGAAAACATTACCTGAAGATCAATCAGCAAATCTTCTTCAATACAGAGCATTTACAGAAATAGGAAGCCTGAGTTTTATATAAAATACACATATATATGGTTATGCAAATCGTTATACAGACCATCTAAAATTATGCAAATCATTATACAGACCATCTAAAATTAATAAAGTAGCCCTTAAAAGGCCTATGTATTTTAGTGACAATGCTTCATGAATATCCTATTAATATTCACACTTTCAATGATTTTATAGATATAAAGCAAGAAAAAATACTGTACTGCTGAGCCCTTTGACAATGTTAGGTTGATATTTCAACTAGTGCATGTTTCTGTAACTCTTTGGTAACTTCTCTGTGGCTTTGATTTCCATTGGTACAACAACTGTCATATCAAGCTGTTAGAATTATTAGCAGAGTTACTAGTGAATTAATGGGCTGCTAATATTGATCTTCAGTTTTTCCAATTATCATATTCTTTTCTGATAGTAAGTATTAGAAACTATACTTTAATGTACCTTAAATATCTTCTAAATGCATAGCACATGAAGAATTGATACCTATAAAGCTCTTGAGATCTTTTTTACTTGGTTAATTTTGAGTAAAATCAAATATGTATGTTCTCAAGAGGTGCTATCTTATTTTTGGATCTTAAATTTTATGTGGTGAGGACCTAAAACTATTAAAATACTTTGACTTATAATAGTGGGTACTTTAAAAAGTAAATAATTACACTGTACAATTTAGAAGTACATGTAAGCCCTCCTGTCAACATAACAGTGTGAGAGTTTTTTATGTGTTTACCAAAATGTATTTGACATACAAATACAAAATAAAATGTGAAAATAAAAGAGACAAAAAGAAGACAAAAATTCAGGTTTGGAAACAAAGTGTGTTTAGAATAACTAAACATTGTGCTTTGCTGCAGGATGGAGTACAGGTAACTGAGAGCGGAAAATTTCATGTTAGTCCAGAGGGGTTTCTTACCATTCGCGATGTTGGAACAGCTGATGAAGGTCGATATGAATGTGTTGCCCGGAATACCATAGGATACTCCTCTGTTAGTATGGTGCTTAGTGTTAATGGTAAGGTGTATGAATCAGAGGTATGAGTTAGATTATTTGTTTTATTCTAATTGCTTATTTTGTAAGATGCAAAAAAGTTAATCAAATGTTAAATTCTTTCTTTTATTCATATTTTTAATTTTAACCCATAATCCTCTTTTCCCCCCTGTCCTGCCCCCCTCCCCCCCCCATCATTTAGTTGAGGCACTATCTGAACAGATGTGAGTAAGATGGTATTATGTCAACCGAAATGTCTCTAGGAGTTAAGCTTCAAAACAAACAATGCTTTGGGCTCTGGTTAGTCATACAACTTTCCTCTTGAGATATGATTTGGACCTATTGGAATTTACTAGTCGAATACACAGTCTAATCTTTAGGGATAACTTGACAAAAAGTCCTGTGGCATCTTTAAAGGGGCACTTACAGAAGTTGGTTGACAATTAGGCAGCAACCATTGTGAAAGAACTCACGAAATGTCATAACAATCTTAAGAAGCTAAAGGAGGAAACAGGAAGTAAAGGAGAATATTTGAGCTTATTCTAACTATTTGAAAGTAATAATGCCAAATAATAGTTATCAATTATTAATACATAATAATTGGTAATAAAGCAACCAAAGAGGCTAAGGAAATATCTTTGTTACACAGATTGACCTTAATGCCTTTCTGACTAACTCAGTAGAAGTGCTGATTTTTTAGACTCATTTTGATGGAAAATATTAAGGAAACGGTGTGATTTTTTTCTTCTTTCAGTAGAAAATATGACAAAATATTTTTGTAACATTGAAAAATGAGTATTGAGCAGTGATTTCTTCAACATATTGGATATTGTCTCCCAGTGTTATGTCTGATGCTCTCTATTTTGTTTACTAAAATAATAACTATATATCAGTGATTTTTCTAATGTATTGATTACAATCATTTCAATCCCATGGTATCAATAAAACTGTGATGTTCCCTGGCTTAAATTGTTTTTAGTAGACTATCAATCTGTCCTCTCCTCTATCAAAAATAACATTTCTCAATCTGTAAAGGTGATTTCTAAGAGAAAAATTGCAGAACTGGTAATCATTCAATGAATGTTTCATCTACGTATATGAAGTCTACAAATGAGAGAAAGTCCATAAAACTCAGATAATCCTGGTTACTCTGGAGATGCATAGAAAAAAGTTTTTTCTTTAAAAAAAAAATAGTAATTATCCAGATTGCAAATCAATAAGAGCTCTGAAAAATGAAACCATGTATTGAACTATAACCCCAATGAAAACCAGTTTCATTTACTTACTGCAGGTGTCAACTGATCATTCTTAACTGCTGAAATTAGCAAACTACAAAACTTGGTGCAAGCTGATCTGCAGTGTTTAATTGCAATGTGGTTATTTTGCTGTAAATAAACTGTAAACTGTAGCATCAATAAACCTAAAATTAATGAAACTACCCTTGATTAATCTCCAGTCTGAAACTGTAAATTATGCAAACAGGCAAATTATTTTTTTCCCTAAAATAAGTAGCTTATCTGATAATGTTTCTGTATGGTTGCTATGAAAATGAAGCTGTCAAGGAAGGAGGACAGCTGGTAATTAGGACAGACCAGTGACTATTGCAGTTTGGCACTGTGGAAAGGATCAGCTCATATTATGTGCTGGGAGTATGTTGTCAGCAGCCCAAGGCAGCTGGCCTCAGGACAGAGAAAGGGGCTTCAGCTGCATCTATAGAGTGCCAGGGACTGTTTTATTTGATGGCAGAGATGGTTAAGTTTGATTACCCTGGTCTAGACTCTGAAACTCATATAGACACAGCCTAAGCTGGCAGTTATGAAGGAATTATGAAATATTGCCTAGAAAAGAAAAAAAAAAAAGTCATGAAAAGCTTGCAAACAACGATTTTTATGTCAGCTGATTTTGTACATCTGCTGATTTTCTTCCAGTGTATTTGCTTTGGACTTTTGCCCTTCTTTACCCTTCTTCCTGTGTGACTTGTCCAATCTAAACACACTCTGGAAATTGTTAGCTGTTGCCCCTGGATCTGGTAGTTCTTGGTTCAGAATGAAAGAAAGGTTATTAGCCTAAGATACATTGTACAAACGTCCAGCTGCAACTGAGTACTGTATAAAAAAGCAGATGAATGGGCCTATGCATTAGTGAGTTCCCAGTATTATGCAGTTGTTAAATAGCTTTTAAGCATGTGATTTTCAACATAATATGAAAAAGCTAGATAATTTAAAAGTAGAAAACAAAGTAGTGATCAAAATAAATAAAACATTTATAGTCCTTCAGAATGAATATGTGTTGCTTACTAGGCTAAGCTCAGGGGAGAAGCAATGTTAATAACTATGTGAGTAGATATAAAATTCTGTGGTTTTTAATTTTTTTTTGTTTTATTATTATTTTGTGAAATATCTTTGAATTTAGGTAATGCATGTGTTCTAAAAGGCAAACTAAGTCTGTCAGTGTTTTCAATTTATTGTAACATATTCCTGTAAATAATGCATGTGTTCTAAAAGGCAAACTAAGTCTATCAGTATTTTCAACTTATTGTAACATATTCCTGTAAATCTTTTAAATTCTTATGTTTAATTCAGTATGAATTTGGTACTAATTGGAATCAAAGGGAATACTTGCATTGATTTCAGTGGATATAGGTCAGGCTCTTGATACCAACACCTGAAATCCACACCAGAAAAAAAACCTTAATAATTTATTTTTTCTTTGGTCATTTTTACTTGAAATTGTAGGACTAATATTAGACAGTTAAAAGCTGTATGCATTTATCTTCACGTTATTATGTTTTAGAATTATAAGCAAGATGAATTTTAAACTGACATTAACGTCTCTTTTAAATAAATTTTGCTCTACTGTAATATGCTTTGATGGAATGTAAAAATTATTAAGAATTTTGTATTTGGACAAACTAATGCTTAAAGAACAGGGGTCTACTTTGTACAACTGAAATGATGTCGTGTCTAGACTCTGTTTTATAGAGGTATCTTTTTGTGTGTGGCTATTTTTGCAATAACACGTGAATTCCTCTTTATGTAGTTCCTAATGTCAGCCGAAATGGAGATCCTTTTGTACAAACATCAATTGTGGAAGCAATTGCTACTGTTGACAGAGCAATAAATTCAACACGTACACATCTGTTTGACAGGTACCCCCTTCTTTTTTTTTTTAATATTGAGAAGTCAAAATTAATTCTGTATATCCTGGAAATAATGGAAGATTTATTAAGCAAGAAGCTATTTTATTATTTAAATAACATTGTTAACATCTCGTTAGTTTTGAGACTACTAACAGATTAACATGTAACAATTCATATTGTTTAAACACTCCTGTTGAGATCTCTATTTACTGCATCAGTACTTCTGCTGAGATAATGTGTATTAAAAGGCTACTAAATGTTTAATTGCCACTAAATGTTTAATATTTTATTATTTTATTAAATTTTTTTTTGCCTTCCATTTTGAGATGAGTAACCAAGGTATGTACTAGTTGTGTTGCTGAATGTTTACATGACTTATGTCATATTGTTATGTTGTAACTCCTGTGTACACTTACTGTTTTTTTTTCAAATTATCTATCAGTCGTCCTCGTTCTCCAAATGATTTGCTAGCCTTATTTCGATACCCAAGGGATCCATACACTGTTGAGCAAGCAAGAGCTGGGGAAATATTTGAAAGGACATTACAGCTTATTCAAGATCATGTACAAGATGGTTTAATGGTTGACCTGAATGGAACAAGTCAGTACTCTTTCCTTATTTTCTGTATTGAAGTGTATTTGCCCTCCTAAGTCATCATACTTCAAGAGATATTTATTTTCCAAATCTGGGTCCCAATTGCAGCCATTACATTGAAGTCAGTGGAGTGTTTGACTTTGCAAAACTTCCAAAGATACGTGTTTGCCTAATTCGCTCCTTGCTTTACACACTGTTACATTATGGTATAACTCAGTCTATTTGATCTCTTTGAGTAAAGTGTTTTTATTTTTCCTCACATTAACACATTAAGGAAAAATTTATATTCACCTTCTTCTACTGGTCAAATTTGTTATAATGGAAGTGCCTAGTGCATCCTTTTTGATAACTCCCTGTGTGTTAATTCATTAGGACCATTGTTTTATAGCAGAACTGACTTTTCTGTTATGTATAAAAAGTAATCACTATATTGTTCATGTTTCTTTAAGTGAAACCATTTAGTGTCGGTGAAGCCTTGGCAAGGAGTACAGATGATATAACAAGGATTTGTATACTTTACAAACCAAGATTTCTGCATGTACCACAATAGTATTCAAAGAATTATTTGCCACTCATTGCTTAAGTGCATGTCAAACGAAGATAATTGTTTCCTTTAACACTGATCTGATGTAATGAGAAATACAGTTTTTGTTGCTTTTTATAAATAGCAGGAAAGTGCAAGTTTTAACATTTCTACCTTTTAGTTACTGAAGTCCAAGTTCAAATTCATGAAATCCAGCTGGAGCATATACAACTAACGTATGTAGATATGTGTGCGGATAGGCTTGAGACATAGGACTGAAGCATTTGGAAATAATGATAGAGTTTTAGGAGAGCTTTTGAGACTTGAGACATAGCCAAAAGCTACACTGAAAATCTAGAGGAGATATTTTTGCTTATTATATTCTTATTGATGTTTATAATTATTTATTGTAACTTCCGAAAACTTTATCTCTGACCATGAACTAGGCAAGTATTTATAAGACAAGAGACTACAGGCTTTGTTGAGTACTGTAACATTTGCAAATAAAAGAAGCTTGTTACTCATTATTAGAGCTGAGTAAATAATCTGTGATGAATAGTTTACCACAAGAACTTTTTCAACATTCTTTGAATGTTTGTGTTTTATAAGAGCAACACAATTTAATTTGGTTGTCTGATTAGGTGCATATGCAAGCATATTGAATATAATACTAGGAATATATGAAATCTGATGTGTGAAATTGCGTGACTACTTTTCACTAGGATTTGTAATAGTGAAATTCAATCACCTAAAGTTTACCAAGAATTGGCATTAAAGCATGCAAATACGAATTAATGAACACAAAATCAGACAACTTTCTGTGATACTGGAAATTCTGTTCACAATCAGAGCTTGCTTCTCAGCTCTACAAAATCCATAGAATCCTGTTTTTTAGGGAAACTTGAGTAGTAAAAGAAATCTGTTTTCATTTAAATAGCATAATGCTCAGATTTTAATACTCATATTTGTCCTTATTTGGTTTTATTTCAAAATGCAGAGCCCAATGGAAGGTGTTATTTAGCACTTCTGCACTGGGAACAGTTGAGAAACTTGACAATTTCCCTTTCAGAGACTTTTTTTAATGTAAAATCTTGGAATATCCCAAGGAAAGACTATGGAGCCAAATTCTCCTCTGCAGTGCCAGATTGTTTAACAAGGGGGATGGCCACAAATTGCTGCTTGGGAGGTTCAGATTGGATGTTAGGAAACACTTTCTCACCAGGAGGCCAGTTCAGCACTGGAACAACTTAAGCAGAAAGGCTAAGGAGTCTCAGTCTTCGCAGGTTTTCAAGCCAGCTAGACAGGGATACAGCTTAGCTGATCCAGTGCTAGAGACAGCCTTGCTTCAAGCAGGAGCTTGGTCTGGGTAAGAGGTCCCTTCTAATCAATATTTCTATGACTCTGAAACATCTTCCTTGCAGTTTGAAAAAAAAAATATAGCTAATATTATGTGAATTGAGCTAACCAGCTTCGAAGTGCTGGCAATGCTCAGCACCCAGCCTTTTAGAAAGAAGAGCCATAGCACCTATAGTGCGAGGGGTATTTAAGGGTCTGAGACTGGCATTTATGGCAGCCTCCACTCTTCTCAGAAATCCATCGAATCTAATCCATAGATGAGACAATGCCTCCCACTTGAACTTCTAAACAGAGAAGCTGAACCTTTTATTTTAAATTGGCAAAGAAGGTCATTCTTCCCAAAACATTCATAGTTGAGTTTTGCTCACAACTTGATTTCAGAAATGGGGGTGGCAACCAAGATAACAACAGCAGACAAATATTTATGTAAAGATTGCATGAATAATGATCATAAGGAAATAAAACCATCATGAATGAAGATCATTTAAAAAGGAGTATAATTATAAAGAAGGTATGTTTTCTGGGTGTACTTTCAGAATTAAACTGCCCTAGTAGCCAGCAGATTATATTATGTTATCAATAATACCCACAAAGACTGTATTTTGCTGCATTACCCAGTGGCACTTACTGGTTTGGCTCTGTGGTTTATTTTTCGTTTTCCTAGTCTGGAGTATTCCATTAAATAATTTATGTATGTCTCCAAGAACAGGTTAGTTTTGCCTAATGAAAGCACAAGGTCTCTAATATCTTTACTTTGACTTGTAAACCATTCGGGGTACATGTAGCCTGAGGCTGAGAAAACATAAATCCCCTGACTGAGCACAGGTCCTGGCCCAGCTGAGCAGCTATGAGCAATCCAGTCCCTTTCAAGGCAGAGACAAAGAGGGGCTTTAGGTGGTTTGTTTGAAATTGCCCTGCCTTGCAGAAATTGGCAGAGAGCCAGTGTGTCTAGCACACATTTATGTGTTGAACGTAGATGAAGGTCAGTGTCTTTGCAGGCACGCTGGGACTGAGCTCAGGACTAAAAGGAACATTTCTGTGTGCAATTAGCCTGCACCAACCTCTTGCAAAACCGCATTCAGTTCATATTCTTTAGTGATTACCATCATGGTGGGAACCCCATGAGCCTGTGGGAACGTGGTACCACAGTACACTCATTCATTTCCTTTTTCCTTCTCCCTTCATTCTTCTTGTTTGGTTTTATTCCTGACTGCAAGCTTTCCAGATAAAGAACCATGGTGGTGCATGGTGATTTTTAGTTGGCTGAAAGTACATCTACCCTGCCACATATTCTACCTCCTGGGCTCTCTCTTGGATCCTGGAACCTTGCTCATCCACACTGTATATCCATTAACACTCGAGGTTTGCCTATGCTTTGTGTCAGCAGGGTCCATTTGAAGTGAATCTCCCAGTTGTCCCCACTTACTGTGCTTTGGTGTGAGTTGTGGTATGGTCTTGAAAAGTATGCATTATTTTCAAATTAAGTGAAAAATGTGGTCCAGGGCCACTTTCATCTGAAGGAAACCTGTTCCTATTGCATGATGGGTACAGTAGAGATGTCTTTCTCAGAATCAAAAATTTCACTCTGCCGACACATTCCTCTTGATCTACACAAGTTGAAAATGTAAATATAGCCCAAATTAATGATTTTTTTTTTCCTGAAATGGTGCCCAAATGTTTCTAAGAAAAAATAATTTTAAGAATGACTCCTGATAGACAGCATAGACAATGCACAGCCTGACTGTTCTATTATTTGCAGTCACCCAACACTGTACTAGGAGGCCTTATGTCTTCAGTCCTTCCACATGCCGTCATACCACAGCAGAGATCATGCAACACATAGCATTAGTTTGAAGTTATACAAACATAATTCTAATGAATTATGATATATATTTTGTATATATTATTTTTCTATGAACTTAGCAAAAATGCAGGAAAGGAGTAAGTGTGTTGTAGTCCCAGAGGTGAATGGTGTGGATTGCAGAGGAAACCTTTGCCAAGTGTTATGCAGACACCGGTTTTCTTCAGAAACTAGTCCTGGGTAATGTGAATGTGAGTTATTCCACACAATTTATCGTAGAGATCACTCGTCTGTTTAGATATATTGTCTGTGGTCATTTTCTTTTGTGGTTTTTGTTGATTTTTTTTTTTTTTTTCTTAAAATTCTACAACTTCCACTGTAATAAAGCAAAACAAAATAGTAATGTTCAGTGAATTCTCAAGTCTCAGATGATAAACTCTTGAAATCCATGCAAATGTTACTGACAGTTTTTAAATCACTTCTATTAACGTGGGGAAAATTTCCCATTTGACTCCATATGAGGCTTTTATTTCTAAAAATATCTCTGCTTTCTTAAGTGACCAAATAAGTAATGAGCTTCTTTTGTGAACATTTTGTAAAAGTTGTACTTGAATTGGCATTTTACAAAGTTACCTTCTGACATAATAGTGGTTGTTGCTCAAATGACCTAATGCTCTAATATAAATATGTGATTATTATTGTTCTTTTTAAACAGTAGGGATATTTAATCTGGTGGGAAATGCAATATAATAAAATAACATTTAAAATAAATTTATGATCTGTGGGGAACATGAGTCTATGAAGTCTTTGATTTTCTCTCTGTCTCTGTTCTGGTTTCAGGTTATCATTATAATGACCTTGTATCCCCACAGTACCTGAATCTGATAGCTAATCTCTCAGGTTGTACAGCCCATCGACGAGTGAACAATTGCTCAGATATGTGCTTCCACCAGAAGTACAGGACACACGATGGAACCTGCAACAATCTTCAGCATCCCATGTGGGGCGCTTCTCTGACAGCCTTTGAACGTCTGTTAAAGTCAGTCTATGAAAATGGATTTAATTTGCCTCGGGGAATTGAACCCAAGAGGCTCTCTAATGGCTATGCACTCCCAATGCCTCGCTTGGTTTCAACTACTCTGATCGGAACAGAAACAATAACTCCTGATGACCAATACACTCACATGCTTATGCAGTGGGGACAGTTTCTTGACCATGACCTTGACCTCACAGTGGCTGCCCTAAGTGAGGCCAGGTTTTCGGATGGTCAGCATTGCAGTTCAGTTTGTACAAATGATCCTCCATGCTTTTCAATCATGATACCACCAAATGATCCCAGAGTTCGAAATGGTGCACGCTGCATGTTTTTCGTGCGCTCCAGTCCGGTTTGTGGAAGTGGCATGACATCTCTCCTGATGAATTCTGTGTACCCACGAGAACAGATCAACCAGCTGACTTCATACATCGATGCATCCAATGTGTATGGCAGTTCGGACCATGAAGCACTAGAAATCAGAGACTTAGCGAGTCAAAGGGGTCTTCTGAGACAGGGAATTGTACAGAGATCTGGCAAGCCCCTTCTTCCATTCGCTACTGGCCCACCAACAGAATGTATGAGAGATGAAAATGAGAGCCCCATTCCCTGCTTTTTAGCTGGTGATCAGCGTTCTAATGAACAGCTGGGTCTTACCAGCATCCACACATTGTGGTTTAGAGAACACAACAGAATTGCCACAGAGCTACTGAAACTCAATCCACACTGGGATGGTGACACAATATATCATGAAACACGCAAAATTGTTGGTGCAGAAATGCAACACATAACATTTAGCCACTGGCTACCTAAGATCTTTGGAGAGGTAGGCATGAAGATGCTTGGCGAATATAAGGGTTATGATCCCAGTGTTAATTCTGGCATAACTAATGAGTTTGCAACTGCCGCTTTTAGGTTTGGTCACACACTCATTAATCCTTTTCTGTATCGACTGGATGAAAACTTTGAACCTATTCCACAAGGCCATCTACCTCTTCATAAGGCATTCTTCTCTCCATTTCGGATTGTAAATGAAGGAGGCATTGATCCACTTCTAAGGGGATTGTTTGGTGTTGCTGGTAAGATGCGTGTCCCATCACAATTACTCAATACAGAATTAACAGAGAGACTCTTCTCCATGGCACGTACTGTGGCTTTAGATCTGGCAGCTATGAATATTCAGAGAGGCAGAGATCATGGAATTCCTCCCTACCATGATTTTAGAGTTTACTGTAATCTTTCTTCAGCTCAGACTTTTGAAGATCTGAAAAATGAAATTAAGAATCCTGAAATCAGGGAGAAACTTAGCAGGTGAGCCTGAGGTGAAGAAAAACTATCAATTATCTAAATGTGCATGCAAAAATGAGTAGCTAAATGTCTTATCTAGAAGAAAATATTTGTTAAGAAAGGGGTAAAGGGATTTTTTTAAGAAACTTACATTCATACCACAAAATAAATGTGGAAAATTCCCACATGCAGATAATTTCTCCACTTCTACATCTCAGTGAACAATAAGAAGTTAATATATACTATATGTGTCCATGAAATTATTAATTTGAAATGTCTGATTTTATAAATGCTGTTAAATATGAATGTTGTTTCAATGTGAGGTCATATTTAATGCCAGTCTCATGCAAATATTTACATGTTCAGTTCCATCCATTCTGTACACTAAAATGAACGGGAATATTGTTCAATGTATTTTCATGTGGGACCCTTCACTACAAGTAATCTGTTTTTCTTTAGAGCTTTAGTGTTTGAAAATAAGTCTTCAGCTACCTGCCACCCCTACCTTATCTACACAAAATCAAATACACAGAATTAGTCTCAGCTACAGTGAAAGAAAAAGTGTACAGAGGGTCAGGAAAGAGAAGCTATTGAAAAAGAAACAGTTTCAAGAAATCAAAAAGAAGCTACTAGGAGAAAGGAAATTTTGGGATAGACTTGCAGACCCGTGATGTTACTCACATATGCAACCTACATTGTAAGGTTTCTTGCATATACACCCACAGGTTGTTCATAAAAGATGTAGCACTGTCATTTTTACTGTGAGTTGTTAATATCTCTTGCCCTTAGCTTTATCATATACTAGTTATTTTATAAATGTAAAATATTTGATATTACATATTTGTGTTTTTCTATTTACAGGTTGTATGGTTCCCCACTGAACATAGACCTATTTCCTGCTCTAATGGTAGAAGATTTAGTTCCAGGGAGCCGACTGGGGCCGACTTTGATGTGTCTGCTAAGCACACAGTTTAGGCGTATTCGGAATGGAGACAGGTAAATTGAAATACCATGGAAACCAAAATTAATTTTCAATTGAGGATGCTTAATAACAGTTGCAATGTCTTGTTTCCAAATCAAACTGCATTTTATTTTCATTTATGATTTTAATATAGAATTGAAAATATGAAGAATAGAGGTTTCAAACATTGTTAGAAGCTATGATTATTTTTTTTTTAAAATCCATTACTTTTTATGGTGAATATGTCATAGTGACCTCCAAAAAGCACAACAGCCAACACATGCGGAGTTTCATTTTACTACTTATTCAAGTTACTTACCTTTCTGAAAGATGGATGTTTCTCATCTCCTTTCATTGTTATTTAATTATTTTATTGACAAAGGAATTGTGGTGATTGAGATGCCTTCACCATCTCCATTTTTAAGCATAAATTGGAAAAGTATCACTCTGTGTATATAATCCCTAGAAATATTTCAGCACAAGCAGTCTGTGTACCAGAAGGGTCTTAAAAGCAAACATATTATCCCAAAGAATACAATTTGATAATTGTTCGTAAATCACTTCACATGCATATTATGAATAATTTCTCATTTTCAGTTTCTACAGTACCTGAAGTAAAAAAAATAGTCATTGTTATTGTTACAGCAGCCAGAACTCCTTTGCATACTTTCAGCACACTCGTTCAGAATCTGAAAATCAACTTTTTTCTTAATTTAGCATTATCTGTGACCTAGAATCCTGGGTTTGGCATGGCATGAGGGTAGAAAGACTTATGCTCATCTTAATGAAAAGGAAACAGAGGAAAAATTAGGAAATTATATTTGCTTCACTTTATCTAATATTATTTGCATTATGTAAGTTATAAAATTGCTACTTAAGATAGTAAAAAGGCTTTTTTATTTCTATAGTCAATAACACAAACCTTTTTGTATACTTTTTTTTTTAAAAAAACAACCGTTTTATATAAAATCTGTTTAAAAATTAAACTGTGAAACAACACTCTCATGCCTGGAATCATAGGGAGTAAAGGAAAAATATATGCAGTATGAACTCCAGATTGCCAGTGACAAGTACCTATTTGTGTCAAAGCAGGATAATGATACTGCTTTTTTGTCTGTGCCTGTCTGCATTTTTTCAGCAAAAGCTTTTTTTTTTTTTTTTCCCCCGGAAACAACGTTTAGAAAAAATAGGAAAACATTAAATATTTAGAAAATGGGATTTTGCTGTCCAAAGAATACAAATATTTTAAAGCAGCATGCCAGCAAATAGTAAAATGTTATTAGACATAATGAAAGCAACTCTCACTTCTTTGAAAAGCCTTTACAATGGGCAGAGGATCAAAGCTGCCAGCACCATGCAAAACAAATGTGCCTGTGCAGGGAAAAGGAGTGATGTTTGAAGGAAGCCTAACTTCACATCAAGATGGAAATTTCAGAATCTGTTTTTCTGAATACAGTACTTGGAATTTCATTGGCCACTGTCCAATGCCATATGAAAATGATACAATAAGTAGGTAAAATGAAATTTGTTGACCATTCTTCTAAGTTTAGTATAAAATTGTTACTCATTTTTCATAAAGTTTAAAGAGCCTCCTACTTATTTTTGGTTGAAATATATGTAAGAAAGTATCAATATAGAATTATGACTTTCCCATTTTGTGAGTTGTAAATGATATCATAATGAACAATTCTTACATGTTAGAATAGTGTAAAATGTTTTCAAATCCTGGACAGTAACTTACAAGATTTTCTTTCCCCAAGAGCTGGCTTGCTTTTCATGGTAATGTATTACATATATTTTCAACTGATAACAAGCTTTTAGCCCTTTATGTATGAAAAATAAATTATTCAAAACTACAGTGTTTCCTCCTTGAATATAATGAATTAACTAAGCATATATTAATAAGTCCCTGAATTAGTATAGTCATTAAAATAGTTTTACAGAAAAAAATATCCTTAGTAAATTAAACAATTTCACTTACCTTGATAATAAACTAGGTATAGATTAACCATTCCTCTAATCTCAGCAATTCTATCAAAATTTTTTCATACCCATAGGAAAGTTGCCTGGAGAAAGAAATCTATGGTAATTTAAGCTTCTACCTTAAAAGAACCCTAAACTTGGTAGTCTAATTCCATTATAGATGTCCAAAGATACCCAGAACATCAAAATGGGACTAGAAGAGAAATAAAATATTTTGTTGAAGGCTTTGGCTGTGTCGTGGTTTAAGCCCATAAAGCACCATGCAGCCATTTGCTGACTCCTTCCTCTCTGGTGGGATGGAGACGAGAAAATATAACAAAAGGCTCAGGGGTCTTTCCTCTTTTCTCTCTCACTCCTCTTTTCTGTTTTTCTTCACTGGTCTCGGTGTCCACGTAGGTGTTTCCCTCACTCCAACTCCTCCTGCCTCCGCTGCAGGTTCCCCCTCTTAAATATATTCTCACAGAGATGCAGCCACCATCGCTAATTGACTTGGCCCTGGCCAGAGGTGGATCTGACTTCGAGCCGAGGGAGCTTCAAGAAGCTTCTCACAGGGGGGCCACTGCTGTAGCACCCTCCCCTGCTACCAAAACCCCTGCCACACAAACCCAATACAGACCCTTTCAGAGTGTCAGCATGACACCAAGTTGGGTTGAAGTGACACCAAGTGCTTACGTTTTGGCATCTGGATCACTTCCTCAGGTACAGTGTAAAGTTGAGAACAGAATTTATGGAATAATTAATTTCATTTTGAATACAGTATTGTGATATCTCTGGAAAACTGCATGTTTTGTTTTTTTTACTAGCAAACTTGTCTTTTCTGTGAGATTACAGGTTATGGTATGAGAACCCAGGTGTGTTCACTCCAGCTCAGCTCACTCAGATCAAGCAGACATCTCTTGCCAGAGTTTTGTGTGACAATGGTGACAACATAACCAGGGTACAACATGATGTCTTTAAGGTAGCTGAATTCCCACATGGATATAGTACCTGTGAAGATATACCTAAACTGGACCTCAGGATGTGGCAAGATTGCTGTGAAGGTCTGTATACAGTTGGATTTGGGCATATTAATGTGCACTTTGTTTAGTATCTGTTCATTTTAAGAAGATATTTGACAGTTGTTCAATTTTTGTTAAGATGTTACAAACTCAAATCTGGAACACAACCCTTATTAAGTGAGCTATCATTCCATATCCTATATTAAACAGACACATTCTAAACATAGCATAGATTCGAACATTGCATAGTGTAGATAACTGTTTTCCTGTTTTCTTCCTTTTGTGGATAAATATTCTTGTTCATTGCCATCTCCTTCAAAAGTTAGGACAGTGTGGTGATTTGCTTTTCTTCAGAAATAAACTCTTTTTCTTCAGAAACAGGATTTACTTCAATGCATGAAACACAGGACACTCAGAATCCCATTGCTTGATAGCATGTATGTTGACTTCTATCTCACATAAAGATTTTCTTCATGGCCTCTCTTTATCCATCATCACATCAGAACTGTTAGAAAATTTCTTCCCAAGAGAATCTTCTGAATCACACAGATTTGCAGTAGCATCAACAACAGAATATACAAGAGGACAATGACCTCTCTTTATTGAGATCTCCTTGAGAGTGTTATTTTCTTTCGACAAAATGCAAAAGACGTGCCCTGGCTGAAAAGTATATTCAGGAATTTTGGGAACTTCTCTGTGGCTATCTGTTTGTCTAGAAATTGCTGTCAAACAGATTACTAACTGGAAAAAACTTGTTCTTATTAGAGAGGGTAATGGTACTATCAGTTGACGATTATTAGAATTTTATAATTTACCTAGTAAGAACCTAGCTTTCAATACCAGAATCTTGTAGATTTGCTGATGAAAGGTACCAAGATCTGAGTTCTTCATCTTTTCTACTGCTATTTCTCTTGAGTTTACTGCTGCTGTGAAGGCTATTCAGTATTCTGTCAAAATATATGCACGAATAAGGAACCACTGGATTGTATTTCTGAGAGAGGTCACACTCTTCCAACTAGTGTTCATTTAACTCTTTGGTAAGATACAATTGTTTCTGATGACAGAGAATCCTTTGGTGATACAGCTCAGAATTTAAGGTAGTAGGTAAAGGGTAAACCGATGGAGCATGTCCCTTCTATCTGCTACAGATACAGTAAATACTGAGGAAGGATTCTAACTAGTGTGACTTTACCATGAGAACAAACTAAGGTATCATCAAAAATTAAAAAAGTAGATAGAAATTTACTATTCAAAGATATTGCACAATTTAGCTTTAAACTAATTACTGTATTCTCTCGTCTGGTAAACAACTCTTTAAATAATAAAAATCACTATCTATGAAAATTCTTCCATGGAAGTCTTGGTTCAAAATGTCAGTTATCTGTGTGAGACTAGGAGAAAAAAATACTGTAGATTTCAAAGAAGACTTGTACATTTTCCCTCAGATATAATTTTATTCAGGTCTTACTCTAATTTTCACAAGTGGTTTATTTAGTTTACTCTGATTTTTTAAACAGTATTTACCAGGCTTGCCATTCCCAAATAGATGGCAATAGCTTATAAAACTCTAGATATGGTTAACACATTGTAATTTTAATGAAAATGCTTTCAGAATCTCTTCAAAATGACTCTGACATATGCCAGAAGCATTGAGAGAAAATCAATTATCACTCTTTGGATGCTTTATCATAAGCAAATAAATGATATTCTACCAGTTCAGGATAAGTTCACTTTGCTGTGGTTCATTAAGTTTGACAGGCAGTTTCACAAACACATTCATTACCTAAATTTTGAAAAATTGTAAAGCTGTTCTGAGAAATTTTGTGTTCATTCTCTAAATGTTATGTTATCGCTGGGCCTTCTAGATCAGATGTTATCTTTGGAAAGTCTTTAGACTATTCAGCCATTCAACAGCCTAGTTTGTATTTTCATTCAAGAATGTTACTACCAGAGAGTACTACTGGATGCAGTAGAGTTAGACAACTGCCAAGCAAAAGAAAGGGTAAATAACTAATGTTCTTTAAAAATTGCCTATCTGTATCCCCTTCTTCTGAACTCTTTTGAAGTTTGTGTGGAAGTTAATGAATTAAAGACAAAGGATGTATGGCTTGAACTGCTTTCTTGCATGGATGAGTGGGTGTGACATTTTCTGTGGGAATCCAGTTTTAAGCAATTAATTTAAAAATTTTCTTTCATTCTGTGGCAGTAGGGACTCACCACTACTCTGAGGTGGGGGGGCATACTTAGCATACATTCAGGAACAACATTTACTTTAAGTTAAATACATCCTGTGTTTTTGTTTCTTTGAATTTATTATTGTTTATTATTTAAAAGAAAAAAAATAAACCATTTCCCACATTTAAAATACTTATGATTATTTTATGATTAAAATTATCTGAAGTTAAAATTTAGAATACAGAATACTGTTCATTGTACTTTATGTATGTTTATTGTACTTTATGTATGTTTAATAAGAGACCCAAATGTTCAGCTGTTTCAGCTTGGTTAAAAACACATCTGTTTTTGTTATCCTTCCTGTTTTGTTCAAGTCAAAATACTTTTCCATATGAAGAATAGAAAAGCTTAGTTAAAAAAAGTTACTACTTTGATTTCTTGAGCAAAGCTAGTATTTATTTCTTATAAAGCAAAGTATTATTCCTTTTTATAATAATAAAACCAGATTACCTTTGAATTCCAGTTAACGAATCATACAACAGAACTACTAGTTTATGGTGGGAAAAAGAAAGGGTTCCACTGAGGTACAGAAGTTTTTCTTCTGGTTTCCTTCACTTTCTACTTTTCTTTGCCTTATCAAAGATGGTGAGGAATTACTGCAGATTTACTGAAGCTCTTTATTTGAGCAAAGAGCATGCAAGCTTCAGATTTTCCAAACAATAACTTTCGTTGCTTTTTTTCAGGCTTTCTAGTGCAAGAAAATTTTTTTTTTATTTTTTTTTAAAGTACTCAGTCTACACTTCCATTATTACTCTTACTGACTTTGTATCTCAGTTCTGAATGCAAAATACAGAAATGATAAACCTCTCTTCCTTCAAATATAACTATACTGTTATGGGTATGCCAAATATTTTTTGTGTGAAAAATTATGTAAAAAAAAGACTAGAAATCAGGTGCAAAGCCGTATTGGCTGAAATGGAGACATGGTTTTACTCTAAATATGGAAATTTGAAATGTTCTTCATTGTGAGTCTTTAAAAGTTTCACAATTTTTTTTTGTAAATTGAAATTAAAAAGTTCTTTAGTCTTTTGTTTTATGTCAAACAGTGACCCAGGAGGAAGTGATTCAGAAAAGATGAAAGACATCCTAGTAAACATAAACTGATTTAGGAAGATTTTTTTTTCTTAACTGATTCACAGTTAGCAACCAATGTATCTCCTGTATCAGATATTGTTCTTTTTTATTTAATTCAGAAAAACAACCTTATGCAAATTATGATTAAACATGTTTAAATCCCACTGAATTTGAGTAGAAGAGTTAAGACACATTTTTAATCTGGGTGCATTTATACATGGTGTTCCAGTAGGATAGACCTATATTTATGAACTCTTACATTTTAAGACCAGACCAACAATTATGTCATCTCTTGCTTCTGTGCTGATCACATTAATCTCTGATTTAAGCATTGCTTCTAGGAAGCCATCAGCTATTTGATTTAACAATTGTGTCTTATTCCAAGTTAAAAATTATCCAGCTTTTACTTCTAGTACTATATCTTATTATGCCCTTTCATCTTCAATTAAAATACTAATCAACACCAGGCTGAGCACTAAACACTGCGGAAGACTAATATTTTAAAATGTTTATAGCAGTCTCAATGGGAGACTGCAAGATCTTTTGTGTTAATGGACCAAGTGATACCAAAATGATGCAATTTATGCCTGAACATGTTTTCTCTTTACATAGATCTTGTGGTTTGCTTCTGTCATGTCATATTTACTTTTGCTTCCTACATTCAGATGTATCTTTTTACATTTACAATTGCATTTAAAGACAATGTCTATTAGCTTAATAAAAATTCAGACTATGCCAGGCTACTAAAATGAAATTCCATGGTCTGTAATTTAAAGGATTAAATCCCTTTTTCTTTGAATAGAACTGCATTTAATATAGTTCATCATTTCTGTATGATTACAATTTTTTTTTTCTGACAGAATCAGTATTTTTATTTATATTTAATCCGAACCAAGAGTATTTTATCTTTTTCAGGTATCCATGAACAGTAAAATACAGTTCTAGAGTCATAATTTTAAAATAAGAAGATTTAATCTATGACATTGCTTTGTCTTTGCTACTGGGGGTCTCATGCCAGTAGTTGCTATCCTTAGTGAAAAGCAACAGGGAAGCAATAGGCATAATGTTTAAGCCCAAACTCCTGAGTCCCCAAATCTAAGATACCACCGTGTCAAAGTCTCTCTGCAGGCAGCAGAGAAAGAGATGCCTCTAAAGGACATTTCAGGTTGCAGTGTCTTCCTGTGTCAATGTCCATTGACTGGAAGGGAATCATGGGCAGCAAAGGGTCCTAATGAGGTATCTCAGTGATTTCTGAAAAACTGGGCAGTTGGAGGTTTTTTCCTTCTTCCCTGTGGATTGTTACTGCCTTCCTAAAACACAGATACCTTCACAGTTTAATGGACAGGTCAGTTCTTAGCATCCTGACCTTTGAAATTTCCAGATTTCCATGGATTTTCAGTCTGTTTGAAATTATTTTTTCTCACTGATCTTTGATACTTATATTCCAAAAGATGCATGGTTTTGATCTGCAAAACTTTCTAACTAGTCCTGTTTAATTTTTCTTCTGGGAAGGTTGGATTTATTTTGGTTTGGTGTCAAGAACCTAATGGTTCTCCTTTATCTTCCTGTAGGCCATCCAAAACCTATGCAGATCACAAAGATGTGATATGTCTTTGGAGTATCATTAGCCATATATAAACAATTTATATAGTCATGGTCAGTGAATTATCTGTATATTTGCTTTTCCAACAATGCCTGAGTCTTCTAGTTTTGGTAGCATCAGTCTGGGAATTTTGAGGTCAATTACAGAGAGCATCTTTATTATTAGAATTCTGCAGTGCATCAGCTGGGAGATGACAATCTGGGTTGTCAGTTTATCTTTTGCCTTCTATACCGTTATTTTTGTCCAGATTTTTAAGTAATCACTATGCAAAATGCATCTGTTCCAATCTGAGCAGATTACTGCTGTATTTTAGACCAATATATTACATTTTTTGCTGCTATTTAATTTATCATTTGTTAGAAAGTCTGGTTCAACAGAAGAAATGAAGAGGTGCAGTGTGATGTGAAGGGATGTGGCCTATTTAGCAATAGCAAACCCAGGTGTTTTGGGTTAGGGCTTCATTTGGGGTGAAAAGCCTTTTTCCTGTGTTGTATATTTTTTAAGTAGCTGTTTTCTGAAAAAATCTACTCAAAACAATCTTGTGACATTTTCAGTGTTTCTCCTCCCTTTGACTGCTCCCACTGGCATGACTAGGAGTTTTTAGGTACATACAAATGCTTACAGTAACTGCAACTTAATTCATTACAATAAATCTCAGAGAATCGAAGTATTATCAAATAGAAGCAATAGTTACAGTATATGTGCTTTTCTTCACATTCCCTTAGTCTCTCAAGTTGTTTTGGTTTAATCTACTGTTAACATAATTCACTTTGACCCAGATTTTGGGGAAGTGATTCACTGGGAATTAGGAGCGCTCAATACTTCTAAATGTCAGGGGATTTTCTATCCAATTTGCTTTATAGATACATTTTTAAAACCTTGTGGGAAACAGAGCATTTTCTGAAGATATGAACATGGCTTCCATGTACAAATGGATTATCTTGACACTTGCAGTGTAATGATACCTAGCTTCTGGAACAAAACATTGCCCATAAAGAAAAAGAATTCTTATGTTGCTTTCAAAATTCAGCTTTTGCGCAGAAAATTAATTGGACTGGGTATAGCTAATCTGGGAAAATTTTAGGTAGGCTGAAAAAAGCAGAATTTTAAGCTCATTTTTCTTATTTACTATTACTTCTAAAGTGTTCTTCATTAAACAAAAAAAAAAAAAAAAGAAGAGAGAGAAAAAAGCTTCTTGTCTTAGGCTTTCTGAAAGCTAGAGCATTCTGTCCTGAACCACTCAGCAGTGACAAGCCTCCTCCTCATACCTGAAACAGAAATCAATAACAAGAGTTGTTCATTTGGCAAGTTGACATATTTGAGTCTTTAAAAACTATAGAAATGTCAGGTCTGTGTACTTGAAGCTGCCACTGAACATATGGTTCTAATATCTCCAGTCTAAGGTGATAAAACCTTCCCAGGATTTCAAACCTTTGGTTCTAAAAACCAACGTAGGAATAAAAAAAAACAATAGGCCATTATGTTATTGTACCAAAAAAACAAATCTGTATTATGTGGGATGACCTTAGCAGTTATTAAACAAAGGAGCATAGCAGAACTCTTTCACAAATTGCTTCCAAGAGAAACTAAAGTTTCTGTGACACTTGGGAAAACTTTAAGCAACAGATTGCTTTAAGAAAAAACATCCTCTAACCAAAACAAGTTCTTTCCCCAGTGGCTTTTCAGAGTGTGAACCCTTTTCTTACCATACTAAATATAGAAGTTTCTAAGGGTGATCAAAAATGCCTTAATTCCAAGCATCTTACAGACACAGCCGTCTGTTCCCATCTGAATATGCTTACTTTCTGAATGGGCTGCAAGAAGGCTGTGTGAGAAACATCAGAACACACAAGAAGAATGAACAATATATTGGCAGTAAATATCATCTGGTTCTTTGGTGGTGCTGTTATTATAGGAGGAAGGTAACAAACTTATTCAAGAATGAGACAAGCAGAAAAGAAAGAAAAGGGAAGGAGAACTGTGGATAAACTGTTCAAGAATGATCAGTAGGTATTGGTTTTGAACTGAAAATCAATCAGTACTTTTTTTTTTTTTTGGTGAGTGTTGTTTTGGTTTTGTTTTTTTTTTTTTTTTCTATCTTAATTGATATTAAGCCATGGACAGACTAAGATTTTCCTAACATGGAAATTGTAATAGTCTATTTAAGTAAAAGTCCAATACAATTAAAAGTAGTCCAAGATTCTTGTTTTTATATAATCACAGAGCAACTTTACATTTTTTTGTCAAGTTGCTTAGATCAACAATGTTTCAAGGTTCTTTCATTGACCTGAAACTTGTGCAATAATTTGTGTTAATACTTTAGGTATTTGATCTAGCTACTGCTAAATTCCAGGATAATACTTTATAGAATGTTATTGATTTTCTGAATAAATTTGTTCTGGTGCAAGTTAAGAGAAACATTAGGGAAAATTAATTCTTCCCCTGTTCAGTTGCTTTCACAGCTCGTTCTGATAATACCAGACTTAGTTGGGATGTCCATGGGATTCTGTATTTTAGCTCTCCCTTCTGTTTTCTTAGCAGGTTCTTTGCTTCTAACAGTTGGACATGCTATTGTTTCCTTCTGCAGCTTGGCCCATTATAACTTTTTGTATTAAAGCTTCTGTGAACAGAAATGAGAAAACTCCTCTCCAAAATGCTGTTCCAGTTTTGTTTTGATTTTAAATGGGACTCTTTCCAAATACTCACTAGGTTTGGAAGGTTGAATAAAATGAACTGAAGGAAAGACATACTTCATCCTGTGAAGACATCCTCTTAGGATCTTAGAAGATTTCTGTCATGATTATTCTCAGGCTTGAGATTTTCACTCTGTGGTGGAAAGTGTCTTAGGGTCTGAGTGACAGGTGATACCTTCAATTCCCTCAAGTTCGGAAATAAGGCTCATCAACCAGTAAAGTGTGTCGACAAATGTTCTCCAGGATTTAATTAAAGATTCTCTTTCAGATGCCAAAAATAACAAATAATATTGCCTGAAATACATAAGGAAACAACAGGCTGGTTTTTCTGTTATTTTTTTCTTCTATATGTAACCACCTCATTTAAAAACAGGAAATAATTAATGGAAATTTCAGAAATGAATAGTTGAAGTAGCACTGATATAGTTGTAAAAATAATCTTTATTCCGTTGTTTCATACCAAAAAGCTGGTCTGTGAATAATCAAATTTTCTGCGTCCAGCTGGCTTAAATGTTGTATTGCTGGGACATACTCAGTTGCCATCGAACTGATTCCAGAGGGATCAGTCTGAATGTATGAATTTCCTTTCCCAATTCCGAAGACACTTTAATACCATATTAATATTGTAACTGCTGAATTATACTGTAGTTGATAATGTGTAATTTCTTATCTAATTTCAGACTGTAGAACTAGAGGACAATTTAATGCATTTTCATATCACTTTCGGGGAAGACGTTCTCTTGATTACAGCTTTCAGGAGGACAAGCCCTTAAAGAAAATTAAAATGTCCAAAACAGTAAGGTGAGATTAGTTTGTTTTTTGGTTGTTTTTTGTTTTTGTTTTTGTTTTTTTTAAGTATGAAAAAACACATGTTTTCAAAATGAAATGAAACTGAATGATTTCTTTGTAAGTGCATACCACTTTCTTCCAGTGTCTGCTTTCTCAAGTTTATGATGGATTTATTTCATTCTGACACTTCTGCATATCTGCTAACACTAAACCACTTTTTTTTTTTTTTCAAGCTCAGAGTTCTGTAAGACTCTTTGTGAGTGACACAGTATAGTGCGTTTGTTCTTCCTGCGCTTTTCATGAAAAAACTCAGTAATGAAGCATAATTTGGGGCATTTGGAATCCCACATTCCTATTGTGCCTGAAGTAATCAAGCTAAATTATTTCCTTTCCTCCTTGGAGCTGCTATGTCCTTCTGTAGAAATTGGAGGAAATCAAGTGTTGACAAAACTAGCATAAAAATTTGTCATAATAGTAGGGATTACTTCTAGTACCAAAATACTCAGAGCAGGAATGGAGAATAGTAGTGCTACAATGGTGTTTATAACTCCCTAATCTTCAAAATACTCTAGCAAGTAAATAAATCACAATGTCAGTCACAAATGACCAACTGCACAGGATCCCTGCAATTTCCAGGGAATCAAATTAGTGGAATTAAATGAGTTCTGCTCAGATCACACATTTCTTGCGAAGGTCCTTCATGGTGAGTAAATTTGAGACTCTTGAATTACAGCTCTTCCTGTATAACATATGTTCTTTTAGCAAATAAAATTATCTACTTGACTGAGGCAACCAGGCAGAGTCTACCCACTCTGCCAAGGAAAGAAGCTAGACAGGTAGGTAGACTGGTAAATTTATTTCAGCAGTTTCAAATACTCATGGAGATGTTAGAGCACTGAAGAAACACCACCATTATATTTCACTTAATTGATAGGGAGCTGTCCTGAAGTAACAGAACCTTTAGGTGTTTAGGATTTTAGACAAGACAGCAGCTAAGTGTAAGCTTACTTATAGACAATAGAAAAAAAAAAAGTTCCTTCGAAGTAATCCTTGAAGAAGGCTATTTCATCTGTCTCTGCAAGTGAACTATTAGAAGTTTTTAAATTTACATAACAGCAATTCACTCTTTCAAGATGATAGTCCCATGATTCTAAAACTATAGAAGGAATAAACAGGATAAAAATGAAAACAAGAAAAATAAGTGCTTGTATATGAGAAGCAGCTTGTTTTCGTTAACTTGCTCTTTGACTGTGTTTCAGAAATGAAGCTTAAAAATCTACAACAGTCCAATTACTAATTAAGACTACAAAATAGTAAATTTACAATACTTTATAGAATAAATAAAGCTAAAGCATCCTCAGTCCTTTAACATTCTCATCAGTCCTCATGCCCATTGTTGTATTGAAATTGTATTAATGTTGGGAATACTTTTTTCTCCTTTTTTATTTCCTTCTAATTTTCAATAACTTGAGCAGGTGGGGAAGATTTAAACTTTTTGTTATACAGTAGCAGCTGGTTTACTTGAATTTTGGCATGTTATGTTGTTTAGAGTTCTTTTTCTTTAATTTAGATGAAAAGCTATGGGAAACTAAGTAGCTTAAACACCTGCCAATAAGTGTTGTTTTAATTTATACAGCAAGATTATGAACCCTATTATATGAGAGGGGATTTCTTTACCAATTCATTATTTGGGTATCCCTTAGCTCTGGAGATGACATGTTAACAAAATAGGAATGCTTGTAAGGATTCAAGCATCTTAATGTAATAAGTGACTTAATAATTAGTGTTATCCTTGGTTTTGAATACATGTTTTCTTAAGTGGTGCCAACTAATATTATTATTAGTTACTGACACTTCTTTTGATAATTGTTTCCCATCAGCAGATTGAATTGATTAACACAACCTAATGTTCTACATCTCTTATCAGATATCACCTGGAAAGTGCTATAGATAAAAGACTCCAGATTTTATGTACGATAATCAGTATTGATTTCAAATGTTAGTTAAGATGGTACACATGCAAATGTTTATATCTGAAAGTACTTCTCATTTATCTATGAAAACTAATTTTTTTTTCCTTTTTAAAGTCATATTTCGTTAAATACATGTCTTGCTAGTGAGCATATAGAGGGAGAAACTGAATCTGAATGCAAAATGTGAATTTCATGTTTGGAAGTAACAATTTTTAAGACTTTCACATTTGTCTGCTTTCATATTGGAGGCTCAAGAGGTTTCCCAGTGAATTTAAGGATGCTCTACAATGTCACTGACGACAACTTTGTGTGTCCCCCTGCATGAAATACATACATTAGTTTTCTAAGTAAAATTCTTGCTAGAGATATTAACAGTAATCCACAGCTCACCTCACCTGAGGTTGTCTTCAGCACCAGTGGGTCTCATGTCCCATTGTGGTTCATACAGTTTCTACATTTGTTCATTGCTCTTCTTTTACATTTTTTCTAAGTGTTCTGAAATACCTAGCCAAATAAAAATTAGTTAGATGAATATCCTGACTTGGCATTTATTTGTTGCAGTTCTGTGAAACAGAATAAATATTTTCATAATGCTACATCAGCATCTAATGAAAATACAAACATGCCCGCAGTGAATGACTTCAAAGAATTTGTTTTGGAAATGCAAAAAACTATTTCAAGCCTCAGAAACCAGGTAAGGTACTATAATGGATAGTTTCTAATTGTAGATTTAATTTATAATATTTTCCTAACATCACTCCTCTTATATTTTTAATATCTAGACATCCACTGCAGCCAAAACCCACCACATAGTATCTCAAACAAAACACAACACAGAACATTGTGTGTTGTTATTTGTTATTTCTATGTTCTTTTGAAATCATACTCAAATATTCTACAATTAGACCCTCTTGACTTTTGAACTTGAAGCTTTGTGTAACCATTGTATACTAAACATGGAATTAGTCTTTCTCTAAAAATTTGTCTTTTAATCTAGACATTTTTGAAAATTTAGATTTGTCTTTCTATATGCGTCACATGTAGTTTGCTTCCCTTTCTATGCTCTAGATGTATATTCCAATGGTAGGAAAGATGTATCTTCTATTCGTTTTCTTTTGAAAGGCTGTTTCCATATGTACTACCTGTTTCCAATCTTCCAGCATTATGAAAACTATGTAGTGAAAAGAAAAACCCAGACAATCATAGATTATGCAGCATAAGAGAAAAAACAGATATGTTGAACAAATATAAACCTTTCTTTGATTCAGTTATTAACTTTTTAAAATGTTTTCAGATAAAAAAACTTGAATCACGCCTCAGTAAAACTGATTGCACTGATGAAAAGGGCAAATCATATTCCAGTAATGAAACCTGGAAAAGGGACCCTTGTACTGTGTGTGAATGCAAAGTAAGTATGTGAAAATCCATTTTGAGATAGAAATTATATTAGGTTCTTCTTCTAAAACAGCAGTTCCAGTTTTGTGCCTGCTAATGTCTGGGTAATAGTTGCTAATTGTATTTTTGTGGATCTTCTGTTATTTTGTGCAAAAAAAATATATTGTTCAGATATCCCTGCCCTTGAAACTGGTTTTCAATCCAGCCTTTATATACTTTTATTATATTTCCATTTTCATTGATGTATAATTGTACTGGCAAAATTAACTGTGAAGTGAGAGACTTCTTGAAGAAGTCTACTAAAATGCATAAAAATCAATATAAACTCATCTAACTTAGTGCTAGATTTTCATTTTCTCTTATCATGGTGAAGTTTTTAAAAAGGTAGTAGAAGGAATATGTCAGTACTTGATATCCCAGAGTTTCATGCCTGAATATTAGATAAAATGTTATACTGCTCCATTAAAGATGGTATAATACAAAGAGCCATCTCGTTGTAAGTTTATGCTGAAATAAACTACATGGAGTTAATTATAGTAGCCAAGATGTTAGAGAGAATGAGTGAGAACATGTTCTTCAATAATATAAAAATGTATTTCTTGTTTGGAACATGCAGCTAGTATGTTGTGATTTTGTTGCTTTTTTTCCTGACACAGGTTGGTCAGATTACCTGTTTTGTAGAATCATGTCCACCGGCTGACTGCGAAGAACCTATGAAGGTTAAAGGAGATTGCTGTCCAGTCTGCTTAAAACAAAATATTAATAAAAAGAAGCCATAAGTCTGCTTTTTAAGAATTTAAGGTGCATACTCCTCAGATCATATCAATGCCTGCTGATGGCAAAACCAGGTAACTACAGTCTTAATAACAACAGCAAGAAATCAAGATTTACAATATTCTAATGGTGCTGTAACAGTGTAATATAATGTATCATTTTATTTTCTGCCCATTAAGGTAATCACAATGCAAAAATTAATGAAAGGGAAATTAACAAACAGGTCAAAGTTAATTGTGTGTTAAACTTCTCAGGTTAGACAAACTCAAACTGGTGCTACTTCAAAAGAACACTGTCAGGTAGTTTTAAGTACTGAAAATGACTGGGCTTAAAACTTACTCTAAAATGAACACTTTGTTTTCTAACTTTAATTAGCAACTTTAAAAGTTTACTATCCCTTCTCAGTACCAGTCTGACATGATATTTAGGTCTTTGTTATTATTTAGTAAATGCAGGGAAAAGGAAAACACAAGGTCACTGTGGCCAAAGCAATGCCATAGAGGTCCACTTTCTGTAAACACCTATGCATGGTAATTCTGTTGATTCACACTATAATTTCTATGTCTGAACCAACAAGGAAATAAAAAAAAAAAAAAACCTACATGACTCCTTTCAACATCCTTTCATTAATTCAAGGAGCAAAATTAATCAAAATTTTCAAAGTAAAAAAGCTAAAATTAGTAAGAAAATGTAAATGTAATTGGAAGATACAAAAAGCAACTGAATGTATATTACAGATGTAATTGACAGTGTTCCTCATTCTAGGAAAGCATACATGACAAAGTAGCCTTTGATCTTAAAATTAATATAATCCTTTTTGTCAAAACATATGTAATTGCTTGGCAACTCTTGTTTTTTTTTTTCATTTATTTCAAATCATTGTAACATGAACATCCAGTCCAGTCTTAAAGCATGCTTCTCTTGATCTCAGATCAGCTCACTTATTTGTGTGGCCCTGTTTTCAAAATGTGAAAAGATGTCACATGCCATTTTGTATACAAAGATTCCTACTGATTCATTGTGCATATTGTCAATAGACATATGTTCCTGATTATATGGTGGCACTGTTTTTTGAAAAAAAGAGCAATCAAAATCAAGCATCATGATTAATTGTGGATTGACTACTTTTTCTGACAAGGTATTTGATTTTTTTAGTTTTTTTTTCCAGTTTCATCTAATGCATATATATTTTTACCTCAATATTTTTATCATTCATGTTAAAAATGGTCTACCAACGGACTTTATTTCCCATTTAATAAATGTTTAATGTTATAGAGTATATGTCTACACTAGCATTTCAAAGTTGTGTACTTTTTAGAATACAAACTGCATATTTTTGACCAGGAATTATATATTATATTCAGTGAAGAACAACTATCATACCTCATTTTACAGCTTTTTTTGTGTTTATTCAGAATTGATTCTTTCCCTGAATACTTAAGTTAAAGTTTATGACTCTGTCCTAAAGTCCTAAGTCAGGTCTAACTAGAACCAGAGTTCTTTAGTTACATAGTTCACTGACTTCCAAGTTTATTGTTCATATTTAGGAAATAGAGATTTGGGAATCAAAGAAATCTGCACAAAATTGAACATTCTCATCTTAAACATTTCAGATTATGCAAACAGACTGAATATTTAATTATTACATGGTAGATCAAATACCTGTCTAATAACTAACCTAGCACAGCAATATGAGTTCCACTATAATATTTTGGCACATAATTTATCTGATTACTAACATTAATAATTTCTAATTTGATAAACTGATACTGTGACACACATTCAAACTTTGGTGTATCTTTAAAGCTTACTACAGAAACTTGTTTCATACTATGGTAGGAGCAATATGTACATGTGAGTGGTGTGTTAAAAGTGTGTGGTAGAGGTACACATGGAACTACAGTTTATATTTTTAAGAATATTTTAATTGATTTTATATACAGTGTTTTGACTTATGTAATTTTCTATGTTAATACTTGTAGAAATTGTGTGTGGCGAGCATGTTTGAGTATCATATGGTTCCTAGAGGTTGTCATTCCTGTATTTCTTTGATACTCTGGTATTTTGTTGACTTTTGTTGAGAGTCCAAACCACATGTCTCGTCCTGTAATTCCAACTCAGATGGAACTCCCACTGACCTATAGCAGGAATTCCTCAAAGAAGAAGGACTGCAGAGCTAAACCAAATATTATTTAACTGTCCAAACAGTTAAATAAGGCAGTAATACATCCAGCTGGTTACTACTTGCATTCTTTTATTCCAATTTTATATTAAATAAACTTTCTCAAGATTTCCGCTTATAGGAGAAGAGAGTTTCCATTTATACATTATTAAATAGTACCTTATATCTGATTGTTCCTTTTCTCCAGCCTCCAGAGTAAAGTGGGAGGTTTTCTTTGTTGTTCACTGTTTATTCATATGGTATATAAAACGGGCCTAGGAGTCTGGATATGCTTAAACAAGTGTAATATTGAGTTATTTTTCTCCATCCATCTGCTTATAAACCATTCAGGAAAAACAGATCTTTATCCACAGTTTAAAATGTAATCAGTCATGGCTTGTACTAACTCAGTTTTATTGCAGTGTCTGCAGAATCAGCATTGATTTTAACATTTCTGAAACAGTGGCCAATGGCTAGATGACCATTTCCTCAGTATCCACTGTGAGAATATTGCTGTAATATGTTGCAAATTTTACATATTTATTTTCTTTTTTAATGTTACCTAAAACAAAGTCTTTGTTGTTTTTATTTTAATCAGTAAATTTACCAAAGAACTGTTTGCACTGTATAATGAATGCTTTTCAGTTAAAATAAAATGGGCCACATTTCCAAGTAAATTCCATGTGATTTCTTCTTGATACATGTATTGTTTAGATTATTTGCTGAAGATTGCAGTGTGTAGACTTTTATCAAAAATCCGTATTACTTATCTTATGTAGGGTTTTCATGATCAAGACACCATTTCTGAGAACTAAGCAATGAGTTAATGAATCATGTAGATTCCGTAGGTGCTTTAATATTATGACACAGAGAATTAAAGTATCTATTCACTGTTCTCTTCTAGGTGATGGGAAAAAAATACATCTCAACTCAGAAAGAATATTTTAAAATACACTTATTTCTTAGCACAAATGTGTATTTGAAAACTCTTAGTGTTAAACTTTTTTCCCATTTTTTATGTGAATGTCATAATATTTAAATACTGTCTGTTCTTACACAGTTTCTTCACTTCCTTACATCTTCACATAGATCCAGTCATGACTTGCCTTCCAATGCACTTGATTCTATATTCATTCTTTATTCACATCATTTCACAAATGGGTATCCAGGTTCATGCAGTATCAGCTCAAAATGAGTCTTCCGTGCAAAAGAGATCTTACCTCATTTTGGTTTTCCATCACAGGATACGAATTTCTGCTGAAGACATGATGAGTTTATTTCATCCTTTGGTGAGGTGTTAGGATATCTAGGGCACTGGGTCAGTTTCTTTGTTAGATCCACCTGACATTCCCCTGTTTCTTCCCAACTTCATACAGTAAAGCACTTTGTGATACAATATCTTTGCAATTAATATAATTCTAAGTTGCTTTACGTTGAAATGGGAAAAGTTAAAGATGGACTCCAAGATACAGAGTTAAGAATTGTTTCCAGGTTGCAGTTAACTGTGCTTCACTATAGTCTGACTAAGGAAAATGTGGAAAAGCAGAACTGCAATACATTTATTTATGTGTTTTCCAGCAGGCTGCTGAAATATCCTGTTGCTCTTCCAAAATGTTGATCAGTAGTATTCAGTCACTATCCTATAAAAAATTTAGGGCAAACATATTTTTTTTCTCCAAATTCAAATAAAATTAGTTTGGCAAAGTACAGGTATACATTTTTCTAGTAACCTAGATGAGTAATACATGCTTCTTTTAACAGACATAGTCAGTTCCTAAGTTCCAAAGCTTAATCTAATAACCCTCAAATATTTACATTTCAACAACTTTTATTTATTTATTTTGCCATGAGACTAAAATAGACAGAGACTTGAAGAGAAGGTTTTGTTTCAGTAAATAACTTTGTGTACGAGGCCAAACAAGAAAACAACCAAGGTTTAACACAGTTAATTGCCAAAAAGTTTGCTAATGATTATTAAAAAAAAAAAAAACAAACCACAGAGTTCAGACATTTAGACTGATAGTCTTGGACTGATACTGATATATTATGAGAAAGATTCAGTTATCTTTGAAATAAATGGAGTAAATTGACTTTATTCCTTCTGGTTGATTACAGTTAAGAATCATTTGGCCACAGTATAATTAAAGTTGTCTTTATAGAGAATGACCTCCCGTACTCGGTAACTTTGTTTTGTAAAATAATATTTTGCTGCCATAGTGTGTGTCATATGATCTAAAATATTTTTCCTTATCTTTTCTTTTTAATCCCCTACTGTTTTCATGCTTTTTCCTATAGTATTTACCAAATCAGTAATCTTCGCAGTGAGATTTTTAGACACATTGGGAATGTTCCATGGCTTTAGCTTGGAAACTAGAAGAAGGTATTGAAAACTGGTGTATTGACTAATTTTCTCAAAACTTCTGCGTTATTCTGTTGTCATATTGTTAAAATAGGTTAAACATTTTGCATAGATGGGATAATACAATTATACAATTACCAGTAGAAAGACAGACTCTCTGCTGTCCTCTCACAGTCTCTGTTATCTACAGTTTGGGGTTCGGTGAGGTATATTTCAGAATTCACTAATTTTTATTATGTACAAGAAAAACTGAGATCCAATATGTGACAAAAAGCTTGTTAGATAGCATATGTCAGCAAAAAATACCAATATGTACATATGCACAAACCTCATTCATGCTGAAAGTTTGTCAGACTTCTAGAGGAATGAAACAACATTATCCTTATTTAAACTAAAAGGAACCAATTAATTACTGAATAGGTAATAAATTACTAGACACTATTGCTGTCCTAACCAGCTCTTCATTATGATGTACCTAATCAGGAGACTTTACCGAGTCATGAAAAGACGGCATTGTCTGCTAATAGTATATTTTAAAGCAGACATCCTAGCAATATCAGACTGTTATTTTGCAATTATCCTGGCTGCTTAATTTCATGCAGTAGTTCCTTTTCTTTCTTTTTTTCACACTTAGCCTGCTGTGACATAGCAAGGAAACCTCTGCACCTCCAACATACTTTTCCTTCTTTTTTTGTCTCAACATCTTTGCTGTCCCTCCAGCAGTGTTATGAATGTTCTTTTCACCGCACTTTATCATTCCATCCTGGTAATAGATGGAGCAGAGTACAGATCAGTTATGTCTAAGTCACAAGAAGGTCTGGCCAGCTGTGTTTAGCTGAAAAGCTATGAATTTAATATCTTTCTTTAGATTCAGAAATGGAACAGAACAGCAGTTCCTGTGGTAAAGGAATAAACCTAATTGTTGCATTCAGTAAAGATGTTTGTGTCTACTTGATGCCTCCCTCGGTGATACAACTTTACATTCCCACAAGTCACATGCTTTAAAAATGTTGCTGTGTTGCCAAAATAAATCCCATTACCTACTTACATCTTTATGAGATGTTGTCTGTTGTTAACCTGGCTCACAGCCATTCCAAGGATCAGTGCAGTAAAGCGCTTCATGTCTCTTTTCATAGAGATTAGCATGAAAAAGTACCCAGAGGGTAAAAAGTAATCAGGAATTGTCCTGAGAAAGGAAAAGAAACTATTGCTTTGTTTTGGTGGGGAGAAAAAAAGAAAGCTTTCATCAAGTACTCTGATTTTTTACAGGCAGAATGCAACAGTTCATCAGGAACTGATTAAATATACCAAGGCAACACATATATTAGGCTGCAATAGAGAGTCCCCAGCCACTGGGAATCAATTTCAACATTTATTGGACCCGCTACTAGTGTGATAGTAAGGCAGGATTTTAGTCCTCTACCTCCACTCTTAGGTGTTGCCTCTCTTCCAATGAAGATCACCTTTTCTTTTTTTCTTCTCCATGCTTTCACAATTAAGGGACTTAAATATGAACTCAAGACTACAAGCCAAAAGGTTTTGTGGGGCAAATCATCAGCCTGACCCCTCAGAATGGCAGGTCCTAACTGGTGAATAAGGACTTAGAGGCCTGAATGGGATGCTTCAGAGGAGGGTTTAGAGTCAGCCAGTTTGAAACATTGGTCAAAGGGTCATACTGAGGTTCCTGTCTTTTTCCCATGCTTAGGTGCCAGATTTGGCACTGTATGTTACGAATTTCCATAATACAGGTTTTACACTTCCAAGAAATGCTGCTAGGAGACACCAAGCTGAGGGCTTGCTGTTTCCTGTCACTAGAAAACCACCGTATTCTTGCTACACAGGAGGCAAGTGGGACAGCTTTCACATATAGAGAATAATCCCAGTTGCTGAAGGAATACTCAGGCTGTTTTAATCAAGGATTTTCTCTCCATCTGGGTGAAACTGAGTTATTTTGCAACCCATGCTTTTATTTAGAACCCCAAATGTTGTCACAGAAAAGGAAGATTTTTTTTTTTTTGTTCTTTTAGTTAAGCTTTGTAGAAAGGGCCTTGTTGAATGCAGTGCAGCAGATGAAACATTGTAGGAGCAGAATAAATGTTTTCTTTCAGCTGAGCTGGCTTGGTATGGTTACATACAGCCTTACTTGTTGCCAGGCTATTCTCTTATATTGAGAGTATTTAAAGATTGCTATGGGATTATTTGGACTTTCTTTTATATCAACAGTCAATTCAGGCAATAATAAACAATAGCTGCCTTGAGGTCAGAAGACGACAGCTTGTTTCTGGTGTAGGCAAATGTTAATGTGGTTTTTAAAGCCTTCATCTTATGTTCTTTCTACATTTCTGTGGTGGAATGCTGTTGTTATCCTAAATCCTACTTCACAAGCAGCTAATATTTTCCATTTGAACTGCAGATGTATTCAGAAGACATGTCACCTTACTTTTCTAAGATCAAGGATTTTGCACATTGGGAATGATAAAAAGGGACATAGCTCTTAACTATTGCTTTAGTTTAATAGATTTTTAAAGTCCAGACAAGTCACTGCAGTCTTGTATAGCATCTGCACAGCATGTTAAACTCAATTCATCCAGTGTTTCTTACATTGACACTGTCTTTTGTTTGAATAGTGTCATTAAAAAGACATGCTGTCTTGATGGAAAATTTCAAAATGTTATTTCTGCATCACCATAATGTAAATTGTAATAGCGGGGTGCTTACTCTCTCAAAGAAATTCATCCTACAATAGTTTATGTGTGTATGTGCAGGTATTTAGCTACTGTATTGCTCATCCTGACCCTTAGTGTAACTTTTATTTGCCAAAGAGATCATGCTTCTTATTTCTCTTTTTTTTTTTTTTTAACTACAAGGTTTTATGGGTGCACATTCACAGTTGAAGATGACTCTTACTCACTAAATCACACTAAGAATTCATATTCATCCAGATCCTAAAGCTTTTATAGCCCCCAATTTTGTTAGTAGGAGTCACATTCTTTATTCCCTTGCTCATGATTTTGCATTTAACTGTGTTATACTAATCAGATAAACTCAGTCTAGAAAACAATCCAGATTTATCTGTAATTACTTTTATTTTCATTGGAGAAAGTAATTTACTTAAGTTTCAAATTATTTCATCTAGTATAGATGTTCTGATACAGCTACAGGTGAGTCCTCTCTTACATTCCTTGTAGCAAAAATCAGCCAAGTATGACTTGAGAGAGCAAGAAAGTAAAGGAAAAATAAAGAAAGGCTGAGGTGCTCCTTCCTTTCTGTGGTAAGTTGTTCACAAAAGGAAAAAGGCTGGTGACAGTCACTGTTGTT